AAATAAATGTAGCATCATAACCAGATCTGTCCCCTTTAGAAAAAAATACTTTAAACCACCTTAATGGTGCTAGGCAAGTTTCCTTGTTTTATAGACTGATCTCCACTAACTGCAAGGAAAATACAGCAAAAAAGTGTTGGGTGGTGTCTAGATATAAATGAGAATATAACAGAAGAGAAGATGAAAGGCAGAGTGTCTGCTTAAAGGGCCAAAGCCAGACAAATAAACTTCTGCAGTACACTTGGATTATGAGAATACATAACTCCAGAATTACTGTACATACATTTAATCCCAACATTCCCAAATCAATGTATAAAATGCAACCTAGAGATAGGATCTTTATACCATTGCTGCTTATGGAAGTCCAACTTTTTTGGGAAAAGCTTTTGGACTTTTTGTCACTTTGTTTGTTTAATATTTTCCCACTAAATAATATAATATTAATTATTATTAATATTAAATAATTAATTAATATTTAATATTTGTTTTATTTTACCACTGAAACAATTTTGGAAACATTATTTTAAGGTAAAAAATCTTACATAGTGTTACTTTAACTAACTGTAGTAAAAAAATGTTGACCTAGCAAAACTTGAAGTCACTTGTCATTGGAAAAACACAGAAAGCCCTGATTTTAAACAATGGTTAAAAGGATTGTCTTGTTGTTTGGCTAAGGAGAAATTCAAATATATTGTTATGGGAAAACCTCAAAAGTTTTTCAAAGTATGGAACCCCTTTATGGGATTTTTTCTGTGTAACGAGGCACCATATCATGATATCAATGTGCCATTGTTTTGACGTGTATAGTATAGATATTGTTGCTGTTTTTTTTTTTTATGTAAATGTTCCTAAAATCAAAAAAAAACCAGTGTTGAAAAAAATGTAGCATCATAAACATCTGCTTTGAACATTATATATGAAATTGATTAATTTGACACATCTGGTCACACAAGAGACACACTCATAAAGGCAGTAACAAATAAAGCAAGAAAAACAGCCATTCATGTAAGTGTCATCATGAGTGATGGAACACGGTCTGTTTAAATGCACTACACAAGCCAACTGACAATCATTGAGTGCTTTAATAATTAGATAGAGCCTTAGTTCAAAGCTCAGATAACTTGTGCTCACCATACTGACAGCTGGATCCATTGAATCCTGGGAGGCAGTCACACAGTTGATGCACGTCACACCCCCATTAAAGCACACACCGTAAGTGCAGAGAGCTGGAACAGGAAAAAGAGATTTAGAAGCAGACAGTACAACTTATCATTCTATTGGGAAATTTTAACAGGAAAAATACATCTTCACAAATATTAAAAGTTGGTTCAACAAGAAGATCAAATTATTCATTCAAATATCCTGCAAGAGCAACTTTCACAAGTCAAGAGTGATAATGAAGTGTCTCAGAGATCATTTCATTGAAATTTTGGATCAGTGAGCAGGCAACTCCCTGGATCTCAATCCCAGAGAACCCATGGTCAATCCTCAAAAGGCAAGTAGACAAGCAAAACTCCACAAATAAGGCAAGAATGGATTGCTATCAGTCAGGATTTGGCCCAGAAGTTGATATCCAGCATACCAGAGCAAATTACAGAGGTTATGAAAAAGGGTCAACACTCTAAATATTGACTGTTTGTATTGACCAATATAAAACTTCTAAAATGCTTATCAGTTGATTACCATAGAAATGAGTGAAAAATTTATCTACAAATACTGAAGCAGCAAACTGTGTACAACACAAAATGTATGTCACTGCCAATACTTTTGGCCAAGGCTGTACAGCTGTCTCTGGCCACTGCCTCTGATGATCACAAAGGTGCATTGTATCCTAGCTCACTGCAAGAAGAGGTCACAAAGCCTTTCAGATTCTTACAAGGCCACTGATGAGAAGTTAAGCTCTGCCTTTTAATGGCCTTTAAGCATTTAAAACAAACTAAACAAAATGAAGAAGATTTAGTACAGAGATTTAGTATCTTTTCAACTATTCTCATGGATTTCAACACCTCACTGACTGAATCCAATGCACAATGATTTACTATTTGTTTGTTAGATAAATAATATAGTTGTATTGTGCCCTAACAACCCTTAGCCATCCTGAATCAAAATAGAGAGTCTATTGAAATAAGCATCTGAAGAAAAGATGATTTATGTGATTGACAATGGCGACAAAGCCAGAATCTTTCTCAAGGAACTTTCAGAGAAGAACAGGAATCTAATTAATCATGTTAGCCATTCACTACACAATCCTTCAGTGAATGATGTTCGTACATCATTAAGCCCTGCAGGTCTACACGTTATCACTTTAATTTCATGTAATTTGATATCTATTTAATCATAAATATGACCGAACTGACTGTGCAAACACTTACGATAGATGCATCCTGCCTCTGCATTGAGCTGGGACCATCCAGGACAGCATTTGTACGTAGTCTTAAAGTCTTGTCTGTAGCCCAAGGCAGTCCTACAAAGTGATTAGAAGATATGATTACTGTTAAACCTACGTTAGTAAAGATTTGAAGTCTCACAGACAATAAAAATTGGCCAATCAGAATGAAGAGAGAGTGGCGTAATAATAGACTTTTGAAATGATAGATTGCTCAGTCTAAACCCCAATTAGTTCAGTATTTGTTCAGTGCAATGGCAGCATTTAGCAAACCCAGTGCCGGTATCATGGGGGCTATTCAATCAACTTCCATAATTGCCAAGGGAGTTGATGGCCCTGAGAGTCTTGAGCTTCCTTTTGATTCCTGAAGCATCTGAGACCCTTAATAACCATCGTCTCTCAACAAAAGTATCAGTTTCTAACTGCTGTCTTTCTCTAACCCTCTGCCCATTCAAGAGGTTGGCTGGCACTGAAAGGTGTGCCAATGAGAAATGGCTGTAAAAGCTGGCTAAAAAGGACTATTGATAGTGATTCAGGAGAGAGGGATTCTTTACTGCACGTAAAACCAACTTTTAAAATATCATCCTAACAGTTGTAGCCAGGGCCTGAAGTTAACTTTTTCAGCCACCAGCCAGTGTGGCTGAGACTTTTTACCTGCCTTTTTTTTTTTTTGCCTCATAAAGGTGAAACCCCCCCATATACACATATATGTATGCGATATAGTATATATTCAACAGATAGAGACCTACCGCAGCTCGTATATAATCAAATCACACGTGGCTGTGTTGATGGCTGATTTAGTCACTGTGATAGATGTGACCAGTAAAGGATAAACGAACACGGAGGCAGCAGGCTACTGCAAACGTTTAGGTGTTTATTTCCACAGGATGGGGTTACAAACGTAAAGCCAATGCTAACCCAATGGTGGTAAACTAAACGTACCAAAAAATCAAATAACAAAAAAAAACCCCATAATAACGATGGGTCATCGCATTTGCTTATCAAACAACAGCGGTCAAGGGCTTACAGAACCCGTTCTCTCACAGAACACTAACTAACTCACTCACATAAAGAAACGATTAACAAATTTATACCTTGGTGGTCAGCACCAATTAACACATAAAGGGGGATACACAGACATAAAATGGCCATTACACACAATAAACGAATATGAAAACACCCAATATACATAAACAAACAGATCAAGTAATACTATCAAATGACTTCACTTAATAAATATACTTCTTATAAACAAACAAAAGAAAACCAAGCAAAATAGTCCTTGGAGTTCCCCCTGAGAAGAAACCGGAATGGTTGTGGCCCGATCATCGGCCGGAACCATATAAATACTTCCAATACTTCCACTCGAACCCCTTTTGATGGTGTGCACCAGCTCACGGGACTCAGGCGTATCAAACAAACAGGCGTATCAATCAAACAAACAAAAAGAACGGTAAGAATAAACTTAAACTAAACGTTAAAGAGTGTGCACACTTAACTCCAAACGAAAGTTTAAATAAAGTTTATTAAACCAAAATAATGTTGTTGTGTACTCTTGTTCCAATGTGGCAGGTAGGCTTTATCAAAGTCCTTCAGCACATGGCGGCCATCTTGTCACAGGCAGCTCGCTCACTGGTAACATTGTTTTAATGGTGGTCCTTTTTAAGTCACCGTAACTTGCTCAATTTTCTACCGATTTTCAAACGGTCTGGTTTGTTATACATGGCAGAGATGTAGTTATGATGCTGCATACTTATGAATAATAAGTGTATAAATAAATAATCATCCAGAATTGTAGCCACGTTAATAAAGTTTGTAAGAAACCGTTTGTGAATCCATCAAGATTTCAACGAGATAAGAGTATTTCTTGCATCAGATACCACAGAGCCCGCCAAAAAGCCTGTCTGTGACAAGATGGCCGCCGGTGATTATGATAAATACTGCGCCGTGAGACATCTAGCCTTTATATAGATATCTATGGTGTTACCTGTCAAGGATGGGGAAATGAAGCTTTATGAAGCAATTGGCTTTATGCCCAGCTGCACTTCTTCCTGAACTTCAGCCAGCTCCTTGTTTCCTGTCTGCCATTATTGGCCAAATTGATTAATTCATGGCAACAATAATCAGACACACCTGAATTAATCAATTTGGCCAATAATGGCAGACAGGAAACAAGGAGCTGGCTGAAGTTCAGGAAGTAGTGCAGCTGGGCATAAAGCGGTTTCCCCTGACTGTTCCGGGAAAAGATTCAAAGCTTCGAGAGTGTCGAACAGCGCCATCTGGAGCTTATTTAAAATAAAGCAGCTGGAAGCTCTGGCAGATGAAGCAACCACAACACACTACAGAGTTTCAATGTTATGTGTACAAATAAAAACCTTACATGTTTGTGTTTGATTTGTTTATTTAATAAGTTCATTTTCCCATTAAAGTGTGACAATAAAATATAATATAAGCTTATATTATTCAATAAGATTTAATGTAGGCCTACTCTCTCTCTCTCTCTTTACACACACACAATGAATATAACATTGTCTGATAGGATCATCTGTTTTTAAATGTATGACACTTGGCAGTGATCGTGCTTATGTAACTGTAGGAATGACAGAAAGGTGATAGTTTTAATTATTTTTATTTAGAAATAAAAGCTGTTTCACAGTGTTGGGACTGAGTCTATTTCTCCTCTTACACAGTAATTCCCCAGCCTTAAAGAACACTCTTTTACATGGCTTTCTCGGGCTGTGCAGTCTCATGTAAAGCTCTGAAATGCCTTAGCATGGATGATGTTTTCATAAACAAGCTGTTTGTCACACACCAAGCATCTCCCTTCTAAAAGGGGAATAAAAGATAGGGGAAGTCTTCCTTTTTTGGCTGTTGCCATTGCTCTAAATACAAACCCTTCACCAAACACCAACACCCAATCCCCTCTCTCCTAATCCCAATGATGATCCAGGTGACAGTCAAATAAACAAGTACCTCCACTCGTCCATACACCAAGCTTGACCTGTGCATCCTTGTCTCCAAACCTTCACCATCCGTGTAAAAGCCTGAACACATGGCTGTTTCTCAGCAGTAAGGACTCTCTTCTGCTCTGAGCAGACATTTGGCCTGAACAAAGGAGAACGAAACAATCACTTTCCATTTCAAGTGCATAATGCAGCTCTTACATTACAACTCTTTTAAAGTCTTTAAGAAACAATAACTGGAAATTGATGTGTAATCAGTTACTAATGCCATAAGGTAACTATTTTGTAAGAATGATTTGGGACTGTTGACTGAATATGGGAAAAAAATAAAACTTTAAGTCATATGATTTGCAGTTTGTAAAGATTTCAGCAGGGGGAAAAAAGAATTTCAAAATTTTCAAATTTTGACTTTATTCTTTATCAAGTTTTGCAATAGAAAACAAAGCGAACAAACCTTGGTCGTTGGGTATTCTGTGTAGAAACAATGACATGTCGCTAGAATGCATTACATAACTGTTTGAGTAACATCTTAGTGAACACAAGTCTAAGGGTTTATTGAATTTTTTGAAGAATAAAAAGGTCTTCGGACTGTAGATCTACACTGTCATCTAGAGGTCGTATGCAGTATGTGAATCTGTTCCTCAACTTTCAATAGCTTCAGCTCTGAAAGCAATTGAGTGATTTTATTTTGCACTCAACAACTCGGGTATATTTAGGAACAACATTAATGAAATGACATTACAATAAGCTGTTTAGAATGATGAAAGCTGTAATGTATGTCCAGGATTATCTGTATGTGGGCCGACCCATTCCAAATCACTCTAATCCTTTTCTGCAAAGCAGCTGTGCACAAATACAATGTAGAAAATGAAGTCAAAGCATGAATATGTCACTGTATTGAGACAAAACAGGTGCGGAACAAACTGAGCTGAACTGTAGTCACATGGATGGGGTGGTCCGGGTGGGTTGAGCTCATCGTTCTGATTCTGAGCACATATTTCTCTGCTGCAATCTCAGTCCTGGATTATAGTGTAGCTGCTGGACAGCGAAAGAGATGGCAGAGGAGCTGACACAGTATCATAGAGGGTACTAACGAAAAGTGCATCCCATAGTCAGCTCATGTTAACTCAAGAGTCAATGACAACAGCAACATCATCAGTGAGGGTCCAAGCATGTCTCCGGAAGAATTGGGAACTGAAAATTATTCAACAATCATTGTGAGAAATTAGAGTCTATATATTATTGTAGGATATTTTATGTGTAGGATGTTTTTGTTCCTTACGGTTCAGATGTTTAGTCTTCTTCTTGATCCTGGGATTTTCTGTTCACACAAATGGTTTTAGCTTTAGTTAAAACATAAAATGTATCAAAAAACATAGAAATATGTAACCTTAGTATTTTTGTTATGATGAACTTGCTGATGTTCTAGTCATCATGGACCTATACTGACACCTAGTGGTGTGGATGTAGCATCACACAAAAGTAAGTTATCAGTTACTGTTGCCTAGACTTTGGCTGCTTCCAAAATTACATATTCTCTTGAGTAGGCACTTATTTTGAATAAGTAATTACTACACAACCGCTAAAAAAGCATGTTCTATTTAGTATAATGGATGCAAAATGAATGTATTCTGGACATATTACATTACATTCGCCATGTTGCCTTTATCCTACGACCGTTCATGGGATAGTAAAGTGTAATCGTACGCACATCTGAATCTCGCCAGAAGTAGTTGGTCATCCGGGTACTTTTTGCCTACTCTTTTATGAGTAATGTGAAATCAGACATACTTCTTTTGTCACATACTGTTTTTCGCCCACTACTGTAGTAGGTAGGGAAGTATGCGATTTCATTTGCACTCATGCTCAGTCATGATTAAATTCCACAAGCAAAAATGTCTAAAATAGTTAAGATATCACTATATAATTACCCGTTCCATTTAAATAAAACAGCTTTTGTTAAAGTCGACATAAAAAACGAAAGTTGTCTTCCCTATTGTGACGTATATTCGAGTCGAGTGACACGGGTTTTTCGATGAGAAAAGAGTTAAAGGGATACTTCACCTCTGGAAAGATGAATGTCTATATAAAATGGGTCATTTACGTAGAAGAAATGTGAAATTATTTTTAAATTTGGAGCTTTCTAGACTGAGAAAAGCCAGAAAATGTATTTTGGCTTATGTGGATGAAAGACAACAACTTCCAGAATGCACTTGCTTTGCTGCCCTAGGAGGCCACGCCTACCGATAACAGAGCGCAGTAGTTAAACAACAATTCTAGGCTACTAGTCCGGGATCCGGATTTTGCCTTCTGCAGTCGCCATTCATTATGTTTACTGTGGCGAGCAGGACGAGGCTGAGGGCCGCGGGAGAACGGCGTGTGGCCGGCGGCGTGATTAACGATGATTACCATGGAGGACCGGGGATTTTTTTAGCAATGTTAAAACGCACATCAACCGATCACTTGTTTAGCGTTCATGTAAACACTACATTTAAATTCACCAATCAGAATGAATTCAGTTAGATTGAAACAAAAAGTGTGCGTTTAAACAATAAATGGCGACTGCAGCAAGCAAAAGCTGAATCCCGGACATCGACGACCGGACATGTCTGGAAAAAAGAGGATGGTGACCCCTCCTACTCAGCTTTCTCCACAGAACAAGAGCCTGCTAGCTTAGCTTCCAAAAGAAGATGGCTGACACATTCTGTGAGTGAGATCCCACCCTCTATATGGGCAGGTTGAAAACATGCGGGACAGCCCCTACTACTGACTGTAGTCTTTAGCCTCTGGCTAAAAAATCCTCCGATGATGCGATTTTTGCATCATTGGAGGATTTTTTCCAGACAAAAAAAATACATAAATCTCTTGTCTCAGGGGGATATGAGGGTGGAAAGCATGGTAATTCGAAAATACTACAGGTTTTGTACTAATACAAAGCTTAATGCTAAATCTTGAACTATCCCTCTAACTATATTAATTGGAAATTGATTCGATTGTTGTCGTTTGCTATTTCTGCGGTCTCATGTAAGTGACATGTTGTCCCGTCCTCGTCCAAGTAAACACCATCAGAGATTAAAGATTATGACGGATGAAACGCACGGATAAATCATTTATGATATCCCATTAAAAAATAAGAATTGTCCATTTTGATTTCATGGTGACTTTTAAGCTACTGATGTGACTGGAGACTTTTCTTCAGTGAGTGTAAATGATTTTAAAAATATTTTTTAAAAATACCCTAATTTTCTTTATGTATAAAATTTAATGGAAAAACATTACTGAGTACAACTTTAAGTCAGTAAATGGTTGCATTCTTCATTTCAGTTTTAAAGATTTAATATTGAGAAAAATTGACCGTAGTATTAAAAGACTATGAGTCTACTTATCAAACATTGTGATGTCTTTTGGAAATAAACAGCTTACAGCGATTGAATCTCTCTGAACAGTATGGTGCATTTAATTACTGAGTACAAACAAAACACTGTGAGAAATAAGATGTTTGGGAATGGTTTGAACACTTTAAGGCATGCGAGTGCTGGATACAGACAAAACACTCAGTGTGTGATGTGAATCCAGCATTGTGAAGCATTCACATCTTAGGTAAAAACTGAACAGTATGAGGCATCTGAGTGTTGGCAGTAGACCACTTGAATTGCTTGTGATGCATCTGGTACTGACCAAATATTATGAGGCGGGTGTGCGTGTTGGTAGATCCCAAAGGGTTTTGGACCGTGCAGCGGTACATTGAGCCGTTGAGCTCAGCTGGGACTCTATCCAGAACCAGTATTTTACCAAATCTCTCTTCACTTCCATCCAGCAGAGGTCCTCCCACACGTGTCCATGTGAACAGTGGCTCTGGAAACACTTCATTCTGCAGAGAAAGTCAAAATATTCATTCAACACTTAAGATTTAAAACATTGAACACAGAGTATATAGCATATCAAAGTCTGCAATAAAGTCGGAATAATTACAAACAAAGCTAAAATATTTATGAGAGTATCTTAGGAGACCTCTTTTTCATAATCTAAATATATTTACTAAACACCATTGGCAGTGTTCATTTGCTCATATATTTTATACTTGAAAAAAATATTAAACAATTTTCAAAAAAGCTCTCCAGGACTTTTAAGGTCAACTATAAAACATCAAAAGCAACTTAATTATTTAGTTTATCATTTCCAAAAGTCATTGGTATGCATTATAATTGTTAAACATTAGCTGTAGCCAAATATAAAACAACATTTCATGCATTCAAATTAGAGTAGTCATATTTCGCTTCTACAAAAACACGAATAACTTCTACTACTTCTAATAAAGTTATTATTTCCAATTAATTTATTTGCACCACTTCTCCTTTTAAGATTGTACCGCTTTGGGCCCCATTTGGAATCCTTCTACTTTAATGCGAACCGTGTCTCCCACTTCCACTCTGCTTGGAGCCATCGAGAGTTTCGGACCTTTTGGAGCAGCTTGTAAACAACGAGAAATGAAAGCGTTGTCATTATGTCATAGGAGGGAGTCATAGGTGTTCTATACTATTTGTATTCTACACAAATAGTTTAATGTCAACCATAACATGAAAAAATTATTTAGAGGCTACATATTATTTTCATGTTATGGCTAGCATAAAAGTTCTATACTATTTTGTCTTAAATAAAATTCTAAAACCAATTTGAAACAGGTTTAAAGTCAACGTAGGCATCACAACATTATATTGTACAGTACAAAAATGGATATTAATTTTTACATTCGCTAAAGATTACATCAAACAGTTACATTTGAATGTTAAAAATTAAATTTATCCCATACCCTCAAACCATCCGAGGTGTATGTGACTCTCTTCTTTCATCTAAACACAATATTACAAAATATCTCTAATATTCTCCAAGCTTTATAATGGGAGTGAATAGTATGATTTTGAAGCCCCAAAAAGCGCATCCATCCATCATAAAAGTAATATTTTTTGATATAACTCAAAGAAGAAAGACATATTCACCTAGGATGTCTTGAGGGTGTATTTTTGTAATTATGGGATCATTTTCATTTTTGGGTGAACTAACCCTTTAATCTTCAAATTCAACTGTTAGATATGATAATACGGTATGGTACTATATATTGTGTACCTAACCTCTCAGTAACTGGTAATGTACATAAGCTGACACTCACAGAGCGTAACCTCTGCCTTCATGGGCATGGATAGAGCCGGGTGCTTGACTTCACAGCTGAACAGAGCCTCATTGTCCAGTTGTGGGTTCAGGTGCCAGGTTAGCGTAGCTTGAACCTCCATGGTACCATCATGAAGCTCAGACAGTGTATGGTTGAAAAAGTACAGTGGACTTGAGCTCAGCACCCAGCGGGGAAACTCTCGGCTGATCACAGTCTCTGGGATGACCTCTGTGGTGGGACTGGGTTCCTCCCGGCTAGGGGCTTCAGACGTGTAGCTGCGCTGGGGCCGGTCTTTATCCAGACGCACCTGTTCGCTGTAAGGGCCCAGGAAAGAAAGAGACTTCTGCACTTTTGTGTCGTCCAGTTCTCGGCTGATAAGCGGTTGGTTATCCTTGGCACCAAGCAAGCCTCTGTTTTCCACTTTCTCAGAGGATGTGAAAGGATGGACTTCAATAAGTTCTCCGTCCCTCTTGAAGTACACCTGAATTTGGGGAAGAAATAATTGAAAAGCGTTTAAAAGGCAATGAAACACATTTCCATTTAAATAAACTCTGTTTGTCTTTTTTAAGATTTAATTTAGAACTGGTGTTTTATTCTTCTACTAACCACAGGGGCAGGTTTTCCTCCAGTTACAATGCAAACAAGCGTGAAGTTCTGAGCCTCGTAGCGATTGAATCGAGCTGGCTGATTTGCTGCCTCAACCGATATTGATTTTGGTGGAGCTGAGAGAAACAATTGAAAACTCATTATAAATCGATAGCACACTACAGCAACTCAAAGAGATAAGGAGAGATGACAGAGCAGCATTCAAAGTAATTATTAGTATCTTTCCCTCAGGGGCTCTTTTGTGCTTCAGACCGCAAGCTAGGAGATCCTCATTTAATGTGCTTTCAGTTTACAGGCAAAGTGCGTTAGTAGGCAAAATTTATATCACAATAACCCAATCTCTTGATTTAAGCCACGTGAAATCTCTATGACGATTTCTTAGCTATTAAATGAACTCTACTTCGTGTTCACTTACATGTCATAGCAAATTACTGTTGAAATGTATTAATTTACAAGTGCGCGCAGAGGGAAATTGCATTAATACCCTACTGAATTCCCAGATTTTCATGGGCATGAAGACACATGCACAGGCAAATAAGAAGAGAAATGTGTGACTGAGAATTTGAATTCTTGGTTATGGTAACACATTCGGGCCTCATTATAATTAAAATGAATGAATATCCATGAATATCCTATTATCATTATCACATTTTATTATCTTTAAAAGCGCTCACTGGAGTTTTGTTTCAATGAGTCACAGTCTTTTCCTAAGCCTTGTGTAGTTTCAAACCTTTCTTTTTTGTTTAAAACACTAAAGGAGATATTTTTGTTCATACAATGAATCTCTTCAAATCGCTCTTCAAAATAATTAGTCTTCCACAGAAGAAAGAGTCATACAGGTTTATAACAACGAGAGAGAGAGTAAACGAATACAGAATGTTCATTTTTGGGTGAACTATTGCTTTTTTTAAAGGTGCTATATGTATTTTTTTAGCGGCCTCTATCGGTGATGTTTCAGATTGCAACCAATTTTTACAAGAGTGCTCATGCTCTTGTAAAACATGAACACAAGAGCTACTAGGGAGAATAATAGGCTACTTTTATCAGCTTGACGTTGAACTAATGCTCCATGTCGTACCGTGATAACATTGAATGCATTTAGCCGACATGTGGTGTTATCCTTTTTTACAGTCTAAAATGTCAAGACAGCAATGTAAAGATAGATAAATGTAAAATATGATAACGAAAAACGGTGAGTAAACTAGACTGAACAATTTCAGTGTAACAGTAAGATCGTAGGAAGTTACATTATTGTACTGAACGTGTCTGGAAATGTGTGTAAACAATATGATAGTAGTGGGATGACGTTAGACAGTAGATCTAGTACATAAAATAGTTACATCCTACTTTTTGTTATCCTGGAACAGTCTTTTGTATTTATTTCATGTCTCATGTATGTTGTAGTTTACCTTGCTATTTCATTACAATTTACCATTATTTCAGCATATCTGTAAACTTGTCATTCATCACAATAAAAACAGCGGTCTCCATAATTCAAACGCTCTGCCGATGTTGATCCGTGTTTTCGTCCTAAGTCCGATTCACGTTTGGCCTGACGAGCTTTAGCAGATACAATTCTGTTTTGTTTTTATATTTATGTGGAGTTTATGTTTAAGTGTGTGTTGTGCTGGATTATTTCATATTTATTGGCTCGGGAGCGTGCATGTGATCAGTGATGGATTTCGAGAAAATCCGACCTGGAGACTTCACATAGAAATAGGAATACCATCAGAGGTAATAGCACAAATCGACAAGTGGGTCATTGTAATGTGTGATTACAACCCCTTCACGCATTCATTTTAGAAGAAAAGTTACATATAGCACCTTTAGGTCTTACTTGAAATCGGTCAATATCACTTGTAATGGGATTTATGTTAATACAACCACATTTCTTGCTTTTTTCTAACTATAATTAACAATCCATCTAAGTTCTGTGAATTGATCTGTGAATGACATACATATAACTTACACATGACATTTAGAGTGATACTCCCAGATGCCAAGACCACCTTCTCTCTAGACGCCCTGTCATAGATCCCCACATGGCATTCATATGGTCCATCATCTTCCATCTGAACCTCAGGGAGCCTGGGAACATTGAGGAACAATCTGTCTAAACACATAACCGCAGTCACAAAAATAGCACGGTACATGCTGAGAGGAAAGCCAAGCATCCACTATAAACTGAGCTCTGCTGGGTATAACTATAACCTGACAGTTGACTGATAAACAAGGTCCTCTCTTTTGCGGAAGTCCTCCATGTGAGAAAAATTGGTGTTGTACATGGCGTCGTAGGTGAAAATTTTCTGTTTGGAGGTTCCACCTTCAGTCACCTGTGAAAACAATGACATTATATTCTATCAAGGATTGATCAGGGTAAACTGTATAGAGAGAGAATGCTTTATTTGGGATAATTTAGTTTAAAATGTCTGTGGTGCCAGTTCTTGTCTCAGGACTAACAACCCATTTTCTCAATTACTGTAAACCAGCCTGCAGTCAAAATGATTTATCTATGATTAGTTTTATCATTAACTATGGACATAATCTATGTTAAGATTATGTTAATACATTTTTATCAGTTCATACATTCCATGGAAATCAATTAACTTTGGTGTCCAACGCTTTTGTCTTAATTTTGAAAGATATAATAGAAGAAAAAAAATGCTGCTGTTTTGTCATCCAATTAAAAGACATTTATACATTTTTAATTGTGGCTAAAGTATCCAAAGTTTTTGGGGTCACTATTAGATTGAGACCTATTTTCAGAGGAGGAGAGAAGCAGCAAAGCTGATCATTTATGATTTTCTAAGTAATTAAATAAACATATGATACATTGCAAGTAATGTCAAGGAAATGTGTTGGCATACTGATGTTTTGAGTGAATGTTTCATCCATATAGCTCATCAATCCCACCACACTTATGGCTCTGTGTGACAACAAAATGAAAACAGCTTGTCCTAAAATCACTGAGGCAATCTTAATCCTGAATATATTTTCATATTTTTGACAGCTTCTGTTCTCACAACGTCAGTTTGCCAACAGAAAAAGTTCGAAAAAGCACAAAAACTAGGATGTTGAAAAGAAAAGGCTTATCATGCAAAGATGAAGCTCGGACCCCACTTACCCGAAACCACACAATCTCTCGTAAGTTGCCATCCGTTCTGAAATTGCACTTCAAAGTCACTGTGTCCCCCATAACCACAGGAGGGAGAGGCTCAATGGTGACTGTTAAATAACCTGGAAAAAGATAGCATGTGTCACTTCCTGAATGCTTTATTACATTCTCAAATTGCACAACCCTCCTTTAAAATCCCATTCAAATTACCAGCTATGAGCCCCAGCCCCATTTAAGTGCTCTCCTCATTTCTGAAACTATTAAGTCATAAGTTAGCAAAACCGAGTGCTTTTGAAGAACCCAATATAAACCTCCCCCAAGAGAGGTCATGCTGCAATGTCAGTGAAATTATAGCATATAATGAGCTCTTGATCCAAGTTGTGAATATTTCAGATCAAAAAGCATGATTTCAAAAACTAATAAAATGTTGTGAGGAGTTCATATAGTCTCAGTGCTGTGTTTCATTAATATTTAATCTCCTCACTTCAAGAAATAACAATCTTTCCTCAGCTCATAACCTGAGAGTTATCCACAATTATCTATTTAACAAACTCGGGTGGTATTGCAGACAATGTTATTATCAAACAATTAATCATTTCTCAATGTAATTACATTGTTCCAGAAGAATCGAAACACAACATCTACATTTCAGATAGTATTCCTACACTGTAAAAAAATATTGTTGGTTTAACTTAAAAAAGTAAGTAACCTGGTTGCCTTAAATTTTTAAGTTCATTGAAATGGAAAAAGTGAGTGAATACAATAAAGGAAAATGATTTAATCATCAGAAACTCAAAATTATATGTTATCTGAACTAAATAAATTATTTAAGTTGATTTGACAAAAGAAAAAATGTTGTGATTACCAATCATGAAAATAATTTTTTTGTTGTACTGTAATCACTTCTATGGTAAAACAACTCACAGAACAAAACAAATACATGAACAAAACGAAACTAAGTAAAATACCCTGTAAAATAAATGATAAATAACAGACTATATATTTCAATGTCTATATTTTCTGTTTCGTATTTCACCTCTTTGATGAAATGAAACAAAACTAATCACAACAAAAAAAAGCAAAGCAAAATAACAAAATATAAAGAATTAAAACTAAGTAGAAGTTTTGCAAAAACTTGTAGACTACAAAAAAAGTAACAAAACAACTTAAAGAAGCAAAGTGAGACAAACACACGCACACACACACACACACACAAGCAAAACCAAATACACTATAAATCAAACACCCATCTGTTTTCATCTGTCTAGATTGGATTTGAAAAGATGTTGCACACACGCATTGTTCAGCGCATTACAGTATTACATAATGGCTGTCACAAGGATGGATTCTTTGTGTGGTTTGATGCTTCAAGAGCTAGAGCTGCATTTCATCTCCTCCATCCATCACTGCTGCTAGAGCTGTGTGCCTGTCTTCATAAAGAGAAGGGGCTTAGTCTACAATTGTTACTCCAATTTTTACCAACATCAGACAGAAAGCATGAAATGCCCCTGTATCCTGAACAACCGTGGAAAGCGGCCGTGTCTTGCTGAGCGCTGCAGTTCCATTGAAAGAGTGCAGGCATCAGAGTGGGAGGCAATCGGCCTATAATCTGTCACAAATTCACTGACCTACAAAATCCCTCTCCTTCACCATATTGGCTTTTTTAACTGTGACGTCAGTGAATGGATTATTCTTTTTTTCTGTGTGTTTTCCTTCTTTCCCTAATCCGTGGTATTTTTCTCCATCAACCAAGTAACTCTGTACGCCCCATATGGGGCACAGGACACTGTCTGGGATGACCTGTGATCCTCAGTTACTTCATCATGCCTTCATTTATTGAGCAAATGTTACAGAGTGTCCTTTAGGAGGCTTACCATGTACATTTTCAGGGTTTATGTCATTACCACTACACATAAGCACATTTTACAGATTGAAATAATCTTGGAAATCAGAGAAAATCAATCTCTGGTGAAATGTAAAAGTTGGCTGGGAATGTTAATGGTGATGTGCAGGGATTAGTTGGGTCACTGAGATGATTTCAGTAATCTATTTGATTATATAAACATGCATTAAAGCACATAAAAGGTTAGAGTGCATTAAAGATGTCAGGTTTACCATTAGTGTTATCTATATGAAGATGATACATATGCAATCTAAACCTTTCAGTGATGAGAAATGGATCAAAAATCATTAATGGTTAAACACTGATTGCTAACTATACACAATGAGGGAGACATAATCCCCCCTCACACACATATTCACATTCCTTTTCAATCAATATGGGTTTTTAATGTCCTTTTCTTAAACATTTATATTTGGTTTGCCCCAATCTTTCACATTTAGTTACATCTTTGCTGTAAACTCGTGCTCTTTACCAAACTGGAACAAGTATGAACATAATTTAAATTTAGGTTTAACTTCCAATTCTCTCAACTTTACACTCCAACTCTTATTAAACAAGCAAACAAGTCTCGATGTCATCATATGCACCATGAATATGATAAAATCCTTTGATAGAAATCAGATCTTAAGGTAAACACTTTTAAGGCTTAAACTACTTTCATATATCATTTTAAATAAAGAAACACTGCTAATGATGCAGTCCCCAAAGCCTCTGTACCTCTAATATGACCTGACCGGTGACATTAAGTGCCCGACTCAAGGGAATGAGACATGACATGATGCAAGCCAGCAATATTGAGTTACAGTAAGCAGTTGCAATTACCAATTCATGTCCAGAATAAGCACTCTTTCTCTCTTATGCTGGCATAGACAAACTCTAATCACCCACTAACGCAAAACTATTCATTAAATGATATTATATACTTGCTCACTCTTAATAACTTTAGATATTCCTGCATTATTGTTCTGCAATCAATGACGTTTCATTATTTCAGAGTGCAGATAACCCCTCATAAAATGGGTCAGGACCAAAGATTAAGCTTTATCCTCAAAATAACCACCCATCAAAATTATTAGACAAATAATGCACCTGAGAGGACAAGACACCTAGAACAATATAGCATTCATATAGAGTGGGACAAGGGGGTAAATAGCTAGTCCAGATGTGATTTAGCTGGTTTGGAATTTATAACCAACTAAAATCTTTGAAACTGTACTGTAAAGTTATGGACATAAAAGCGTCGAGTTCAAAGTGTGATTTTGAGTTGTAGAAAAACAAAGCGTCTCCGGTCTATGGACTTCTCAAAACAGCTGACTGCATATCATATAATTCAAGTAAAACTTACCTCTAACGAAATCCAGTAGGTCAGCACACAGGAGCAAAGATAAAGTAATTATACTCATCTCTTTTGTCATATTTTAATATCACTCAATAGCGCAAGTGTGTCAATAGCTATTCCATCTTAAAATTGTGTTAATGTCATCCTCCGTATAAAGCTGAAATTTTAAGTAACTCGTCGCGATTCTCCCAGTGATTTGTCATGGTATCCTTCTAAAGGAGCAGGAGCAGGAACAGCATCTCTATGGGGCTTCGACGGGCGGAGATTCACCAAAGCAACAGATTTGAATGAATTCATTCTCTCGTGCGCGCGCCCTTGCCCCCCCGCGCGCAGTCATACCACGCGCTCAATAACCTCGAGCAATCGCTGATGAAATGACTGCCAGGAACAAACACGCTATGTTATTTACTTATGAAGGTAAGTAGCTTATTAAATCGCTCTTTAAAATTAAATTGAATGCGTTTTATTAATGTGCACATTTTTTTTGTGAAAATATTGTGGTTTATTAAATACAAAGATTATTAAATGCACACCATAGCTACTGCCAATTAAATGGATTGTAATTTTTACGCACTAGCAACTTAAAATGGTAAATGACATTTAGAAACCCATCAGTGTATTGTGATTATAGAGGATCAGGACATTCTTCCTTAGAAACTGGGTTATTTTTTTTCCTTCTCTTTCAGCATGGACATCTCTTCTCATATATGTGCGCTGATGAGAAGAATGAAGATGAAAAATTTAAATGATGATATTTAGTGTAAATATATATATATATATATATATATATATATATAAAATGCTACAGAAAAACCTGTTAATGGCATACTTATAGGCTACAGTACAAAAAAAGTATTTATTCTAATAATATATTAGGAAGAACAAAGGATGAATTGAGTCTTTAATTTTGTTAGTTAAAAAAAAAAAAAAAAAACAGTGTTCCTGTGCGACATTTTAATTCTGTTTTATTTAAATATTATTTTTCTCTTATGTGTATTGTATGCTGTTTAGTTCCGATTTATATATCAACATTATATAAAAAATGAAGGTGGAAAATATTTCTTTACCATACATTTTTATGTATTTAAGAGCATCCAAAATGTTGTTTTATGAGTAAATTGGCACATCCTCCATAATCACAGAGGTGCGAACATCGTGCTTCTATTTAAGTTTTACAAAGGAGGGGCATTATCTTGATCAAGTCCTTCAATTAGCAATAATGAATGTCTTGATTTCCCAACAGACACAAAGCAATCAAACATCTCTAATTAGAAGTCTTTGATGTAAGCATGGTTTAAAGTTCCTCAAACTAAACTAAAGGACTAGACTCCTCACCAACCACACCACAAAACTAAGAAACATACTGTCATAGAGAAAAGACCCCCCTCAAAGTAAACCAAAGTTTATCTTCTGCAAACACAGCAGCTTTTATATTTAATAATGAACTGAGCATGAATTAAATGCATCCTGTCATTTTCTTGAATGACATCACAGGAATAGCACAAAATAATTAGATGAAATGTGCATGCATTCTGTTTACAAAACATTTATATCGGACCGATGAGTGACTGTTAGACAGCTCCTTTAAATCCTGACATGCCAGTTTTACTCCACGCCTGCCAGAGATGTGATTTGGCACCCTCTTCACGTAGCACTAGTGTCACAACGTGCATATATTAACCGCTGCCTGAGCTGCGCCATACTGCGTTTGCTGATATGTTTACTGTGAGAGCCGGCAGTGGCTGCGCAGAGATAAAAGCCAGAAAATATGCTGAGATTCAACATAAAATATTACTCTGCAGTATTAATTTACAGCAGGTCTTCGCACACAATGCCACTTCAAAACCATTTAATGTTGAGTCAGTTTAAAATGCAATGCTTTTAAATATTATGGTAACGGAAAAATTGCATTAACTTCAATAATAGTAAATATGATTTCATTGTTTTATTTTAAAAGTGACACTGCGAACAACGAAAACCACCAGAAACAAGTACCACATTTTACACTAAAATAACGTTACAACACATTTAAATAGACTGACTCCATATATTCAACCTTACTTTCAGTGCACACCACTTTGGTGGTGATGCATAAAAAATATCTTTTTTCATTTAAACAAGAAAGAATTGGGTCACAACCAATACTCAGATACATACTAAGGATTACTTTATGTATTACATATGCAAAAACAAAACTTTTTTTCACTTACCCTGATTCCTTGCATGCGATTTGGTGCTATCAGTCGTTTAGTGATATTTTCAAGAGGTGAGATTAAATCATATTTAGATGTGGTGCGTTATTTAGCCGACTGAGTGCATACTATTATTACGATAGACGAATATTGAACAGTGCTGTTTAACCTAAAATTAGAAATTCTGTCATCATTTACTCACCTTGTTCCAAACCTGTATGATTTTTATTATTTCTTCTGCTGAACGCAAAAGAAGATATTATGAAGAATAAGAATAACCAAACAGGTGATGGGCACCATTGACTTCCATAGTTTTTTTTTCTTTTTTTTTTTTTTCAATAGAGCGCATTAACTGTTTGGTTATCCATATTCTTCAAAATATCGCCTTTAGCTTTCAGCAGAAGAAAGAAACTCATACAGGTTTGGAAAAACTTGAGGTAAATGGTGACAGAATTTTCAATTTTGGGAGAACTATCCTTTTACAGGAATATTCCAGTTCAATCAACAGCATTTGTGGCGTAATATTGATTAAACTTGCCCCTCGTTTACTTAAAAAAAAAAAACCTTCAGGAGGAGAAGTGGAATAAATAATCCCCATAAACCATACAAATACAGGTTTACAGTCTGTTTGTCCTTCAATGATCCAATTCTCCCTCCAAAATCACTGCAAAAACACCTTATGAAAGCCAAAGGATGAAGAATTCATTAGTTCCTCAAACTGTCATGGGCAATTGCCAGACCATGAGCGTGTTCTCACTTGAGTCATGCGAGTTAGAGGGGCTAGCAAGTCGGCGGAACCCTTTTCCACCGGATATAACGGCGGCTGAAGTCACTTTCTCCCTAATACGTGCTGATTCCTTAAATGAGGGCCCAGGTCCTCTGACCCAAACATCGGGGTCATCGCTCAGCTCATAGATGGAGCCGTCCTCTAGGCTGTGCTCCAGAGACTCCTGGGTCGAGTTGGACGATTCCTCAGGCCGGCCCGTCAGGACTTTTCCTGGGAGCTGGGAGGTAGAGCGGAGGTGGTACTGCAGCAGCACTCCTTTGGCTTTAGCCTCTCCCTGAGAAGAGCCATCCGCCTGCTGGAGCGACTCCTGAGAGGAATTTGTCGCCTCCTTATCCTCACCTCCAATATTTGAATCCGCACCCTCCGTGGAAGAATCTCGCTTCAGGAAATCTTGAGGTAAAACGCTGGAGGTTGCCAGCAAGAATTCAACGGGGCCGCTATGAGCATTGAGTGAGGTCATCCCTTTACCTGATGGGAAAGAGGAACAGTTTAGCAGTTTTTTATTATATTACAAAGACGTCCGTTATCAGCCGCACAGTGGAAAATTAAACCATATCCATACCGGCTGGAATGGTTGAGCAAAGAGAACACTTTGGTCCGATGGTGGAAAAGTGGCTTTTGTGTTTGTAAACCAAAAGAAGCCTTAGATGCAATAATTTTGTTTTGTTTTAATTATGGCTCACCTGTTATTTTGGGGATGCCTTCCAGTCTGGGCACTGGCAGGGTGACAATAATGCCCTGAGCTGTGCCCACCCATAGAAGCCCCTGGCAGATGAGCAGGCTGGTTACACACACAGCTTTTTTACCTAAGAAAAAAAAAGTATGATAAATTGTCACATTTTTTATTTTATTTTTTATTTAATTATGTATAAATAAAAATAAATATATTTGTTTTTCCAATTTCACTACTCGTTTAAAACATTTTTGTGAATCTTGACACCTGATACTTGTGCCCCCTTTCAGGGCCTGTGTGCCAAAACATCGTCATACTGAAATGAAATCCTGCACCATAATCACATGTTGGACTTGCCAGGGCTCAAATATGCAGAGGGTGTTGAAATGTTGATCTCTTGAAGATGTTCCAATGTTTCTGTGTGAAACAGACGTAAAGATGATCCCTCTGAAAACGCCATCCACACCCCTCCTCCAGCGCGCACCATGTGGCTCACACTAACCATAGGGTCTGGATGAACTTCAAAACTCTGGCAATCATAAAAGATACAAAATAATTAAGAAAATGCATACCAACAAGAGAGAGGAATTGTAGATTTAGGGGGGAATAAAAATCATCAAAGTTTAGGCCAACACTCTTGACTCAAAAGTGGGTATAATTCTCAGTCAGACTATATACTGCTCAATTAAAGTCAGTTTGGGTGTGTGAGGCTGGGAATATTACATCAACTGTTAAGGGAAACCATAAAAGCTTAAATTAGTAAATCCACTTGGATCCACTAAAAATGGTTAGGAAATGGATAATTTTTTTTAAGTGCATTTTTTTATGGATTACTTGGTGCAAAAAAGCACCACAGTCAGAGTAATAACACTACAAGGCAATTATCATATACAATTTTTAGAATCTGAGCATTTTCTAATATACTTATTTTTAAATTATTTTACAAAATATTAAAGTTGTCTAATTTTTTCATTGAGGTAAGTTGTCAACTGTTAATATACACACCTGTATTTTTTATTAAATAAATGCCTCCATGGTGAACATAAGAGACATTAAAAACAAATAAAAACCATACTGACCCCAAACCTTTAAACAGTACTGTGTGTGTGTGAGTGAGTGTGTGTGTGTGTGTGTGTGTGTGTGTGTGTGTGTGTGTGTGTATACATATACACACTGTTTATAAATGTCAATTTGGTGCAAGTTGGCACATTTTTACTGGGGTTAGTTGTGTCATATTAATATTTGTTTATACAAAATATTTATAAATATTATTAATGTTAAAAAGGTTTGACAATTTCGCACCCATAATATTTCATAGCAAGCTCTATTTCTACAACATAAATCATATGCCCTGCTGTTTATCTTACAGAGCTATTTTTTCCGAACCATACAATTGCAGTGTATGCCAGTACTTCCTGCACCTTCGCTCTGTTTAACAACAGATATTCTGACAGATGCTTCCTCTATAGGTGAAAACAACTATTGACTCGCACACGTAAACAGGCTGACGTGTCCATTTGAGTACCCACAACTTATCTTCCGGTTGAACTGAACTTCCAAAGCTGAATTTAATCCTGATATTAAGCATCGGGAAGGCAGAGGGAGGGTGCTCTCCTTGCGGCAAAATAGAGAGGTTGGCTCAGCTGTCAGAAGTGATCAAAGGCTAGCACCCTAACATGCTGTTGGGCTTCTACAGGGAGGATACCTTTTATGTGTGGCTTAAGATGCTCTCTCATAATGCATCTAGCACAGGAAGCCGTCTTTACAGAAAAATTAAATGTAAAACTTTGAAATAAAAGAATCATTTTAAGATTTCCTAAACCAACCTTTGTTAAGAACAGATCTCGAGCTTTGATAGGTGACGCGACACTGCATCTTCATTGGGAAGGTGGTGGAATCCCATTCAACACATTTCTCAGAGGAGAAGGATCTAATGTCTATCACATGTGGGTGTATACCTGAGTCTTGAGAGAGGAGCCCTCAATCACAGAGACCTGGTTGGCACAGCTGGCCCACACATACTCGTCTATTCGGAGGAGTTTGAGGACGGGCGCACATCCAATAACCACATGTCTGCAGGAATCTGGATCCCACAACCCCTCTGTAACAACAAAATGCATGCTGGATTTAGACCTGCTACTGGAAACGGCTAATATTTACACATCTTTTATAATGTAACAGTAGATTCAGAGAGAATATTAAGCATATTAATTATATAATAATTAATATGTGAACCTTTCACCTGGAGTTCTAAACAAACTGGAGCCCATTGACACTCATATATGGATAAAAAGGCATCTTTTGTTTTCCACGGAAGAAAGAAAGTCATACAAGTTTGTAATGACATGAGGGTGAGTAAATGACAACATTTGGATGAAGTCGTTGGATGAACTAACCTTTTAACATATTTCTTTGTTAATAACCCCAACCCCGACTACATAACTATTTTACAAGGTACAGATCTTGAATAAATTTGTACGATGTAAGATTTGTACTACACCCCATTGGGTGTAGCTGGTACAAAAATGTGCAAAATGAGATTAGCCACCATTTTGCCAAAACATAAAATAGTTACGAATTCCCACGAAAGGGTGTTATCTAATTTGAAATCCCCAAAATTTAGAGTCTGGGCATGGAGTAGCTTATATATGAACCTGGATTGTTGCCAGCCCTACTAAATATTATGTGGACAGAAGAAGCCAAAGGTGTTTGAAAGTAGTTAGCAGCTCTTAAGAAAAACTGGGATGGAGGGACATCGTGGGGCTTTGCAGCCTCGGGATCTGCACAGCTTTCCATCATTGACAGAAAAATCACTTCCCTGGTTTATCAGGTCATTTTGCAGGGGGATGTTAGGTCATCTGTTCGCCAAGAGAGATTCAACAGGACACCCATTTCAAGCACAGGACTAAATCATATACAAAATGCACCATCTGATGTGGCTCAGTCCTGACCTTAACCTCACTGAGATGCTTTAGCATGAGCTCAAGTGAGTGATTCACACCAGACATCCCAAGAATATTGCTGAACTGAAATGATTTTGTGCAGAAGAAATACTTTTTTCCCACCCTGCCCTGTGAATGGTTATATGGTGTGCCCAATAAAAGCAATGGGGTCATTGCTTGTGTGTTATTGTGTTTGTCTTTTGTTGAAGATTAGATGAATTTTAGGACCAATTTATGCATAAATCCAAGAGTTCACTGTTTCCTGCAACTGTAAATCCAAAGTAAATGGAAAAACAAAACATTTATAAAATGTAACATTGTAGAATTAATTAAAGTTCACCCAAAAATGAAATGATGTCATTATTTACTCATGTAGTTTCAATGCGCAACACAAAAGATGATATTTTGCAGAATGTTGGTAACCAAACAGTTTTGGTGACCATTCACTTCCATATCTTATTTTCTTTTTTATGTTGCTCAGAACAGAAAATGAAAGTCATACAGGTTTGGAATGACACGAATCCCTTTCATTTCTATTTAAACTGAAAATTACACTATAAAATGATTCTACCTTCACTCTTTCTGTTGTAAATGGCAACTTTTCCATTACTCAGTCCAGCGAACAGAAAGTTGGCAGCGTGTTTCAGGCACAGAACCGGGCAGCCCTCAGGGTTACAGAATGTTAGCAGACACTGAGCAGCAGAGTCCACACTTCCATAAACCAGGATGCTTGAAAAACAAACACACAATGTTACTAGCTTTTCCCAAGGGGAAAAAAGCTATTAATTCGGACTTTCTGCATAAAATTAGCAAGGTAATGCCTGCAGACCAATAAAGGTACATATTCAAAAAGACTTACTTGCCATCCAATAATCCTACACAGATGGTGTTGCCGATCTTGGAAAGAACTTCAGAGGTCTGTGTCTCCAGTTCTTCATCGGTACTGGGCTCTGGGATATACTCCAGACAAAGCACCGGGGAACCTAGAGAGAAACTCTTGACAGAGCGAGGAGTGGGTCGGTTAAGGGAGAAAATCTCCACCTGCCCATGGGAGTCGTCACCCCTACTAGCCACCTGTGCAGTGGAAGAGACAACAAAAAGAAAGGAGGACATCCAGTGACTGAACTCACTGACATGGCCCTCTGAGAGGCTGCAGGCAAAAAAAGATGGAAGAAAAAAAAACGTGGAAGCACAGTCATGAGATAAATGATTTATAGATTCTCTTTTGATGTGGAATACTTGATGTTTGTTTCTAGAGCTGCCTTTCGAGAAACTTTTAATACTGCTTCCCTTTTCTTTTAAATGTCGATCAAACTATTCTAACAGTGTTTTTTTGAGGAGCTCCTGCTACGATCACTTACAGGCGGAAAAGCTGTAAGTCGAAAGAAAAATATCACATAAAAGTACGTTTCCATGTAGGAGTTGCGATTTAGTCAGATTTGAGAACTGGTTCATGGCCTCGAAACTTTTTATTGGAAATTATACAAGAGACTTTTCACTGTTTATCTCCATTTTGATATGACTCCTTCTGCATGTTACACTGTTATGATGAATGAGTCAAACACACCAATTCATTCAGGAACAAAACAACAGACCTGACCCAATACCCACACTTCAGTCTTCACACTTGACCACTTTTCTTTGTTCAATTTGACTCGAGTGTTCAAGTTGGCGTGAAGACAGCAAGACAGTATTTCACACACAGTACAAATGAGTAATTGTGCTTCTAATTAAGTGATTAAAAGCAGTTGGAAATGTTTTTCAAAATATACATACCATCTCTCTACAATACTATTTTACTACCAAATAATATGCAATATCTATAACGTGTAATGAGTATTCATAAGAATGGTACTCTACTTTGTGTGATATTTCAAAAATATAAACTGAATACTGTGCATTGCAGAGGCAAATTATGTTTAAAGCTACAGTCCGTAGCTTTTTTGGGGTTCAAAATTAAAAATGTTCTCTCTTGTACAGTACTGATGATGACAGCCCTCGTCAGAGGTAGACTTTTCAAATGTTTGTGTCAAAGATGAGGTGACGGACCCCCAGGTGCATCATCTGAGATGTACAGAGATACTGTAGTATGATATTCCAGCGCCAGTGGGCAGATTGATTTATAAAGAAGAAAAGATGTTGTCATTGTGCAAAAATGTACCTACCCAGAGGTAGCCCTGAGGCAAGGATGTGCTGGCGGCAGAAAAACCAAGAAGTGCACAGTGGACAGGGTTATATAGGGCAGCCTGCAACTTGGAAAAAAACAAGACAAAGCATTAAAATCAGCATTAAAAGAGTTCAATTGCAATGCTAAAAAGTCATTTAAATTATATATACACAGTACCAAAGTACTAAAGATTTTTAATGTTTTAAAAAGAAGTCTGCTCACCAAGGCTGCATTGATTAAAAAAAATAAAACCCAGTCATATTGTGAAATATTATTATAATTTAAAACAGCTGTTTTCTATGCGAATATATATTAAAGTGTAATTTATTCTTGTGATCAAAGATTAATTTTCAGAATCAATTCTCCAGTCTTCAGTTCTTATTATTTGAATCTTTTGTAATGTCTTTACTGTAAACCCCCCCCCCCCACACCCTTCTAAAAAAGCTTTCTATTTCAGACAAATGCTATTCTTTTAAACTCTCTGTTCATCAAAGAATGCTGAAAAAACTGTTTTCAACATTGATAATAATAATGACTGTTTTTTGAGCATCAAATCCGCATATTAGAATGATTCTTGAAGGATCATGTGACACTAAAGACTGGAGTAATTTACTGAAAATTCAATAAATCACATTTTAGAATATATATTCAAATAGAAAATTTCATATTGTCATTGCATTAACTTTCCATAATATTTAACAATACAATTTTGTTGTTGTATTTTTAATCAAATAAATGCAGCCTTGGTGAGCAGACTTCTTTTAAAAACATAAAAAAATCTTACAGATTCAAGACTTTTGACTGGTAGTGTATATAAATATAGCAATTTAAATTAAACAATTTATATATTTATATATATATTTTTGTATGTCTAAGACACGATTCTGATGCAACTACACTTTTATTTTTCAAATTAACAAGAGGTAATGGTGTCGGTCAACAAAAAAGGTAAGTAAGCATCTCGAGGCTCGATGTCATGAAGGCAAGCATTAAGAAAGGCCCAATTTTGACAACAGGAATTATTTGATAATAATCAAAATGGCATTCTGTCACTACTCACATAACTTAAGCTTGAGCTCAGAGAGATGTCAGAAACCCTGACACATTTGATTTTTTCATCATCCTGTATGTAGCTATAATTGCAAGCCTATTACTGACATAGTTGCTTGGGGATGTTGCCAAGATGGCCACTAAGTGAACTGAATTGTCTCATGTCAAGACTTAAAATCCTGTTGAATCCACATTTTGTTGAAAAACATGATCATTAGAGTACTGCAACAGTGGGATCAAAGAAAGACTGTTTTTTGCATGTTCAAAAAGCCAACTCAGAGCCAAAGGATTATCTAAACTAGAGGACAGAATTATACATTTCTTTTGTTTTGTTCTTTTGATTGAAGGCTTTAAATAGGGCAAGATAAATATCATGCACATCTTTTGATTTTCCCCTCAGTAACAGTTTCAGAAAGTGGTATGAAAGGGATTTCAGATTCTTTCAATTCATTTTATTTTATTTTAGGCTACGCAAAGCATGGTTGTTACGTTTTTGTCCATGTTATATGCATGCTGAGTTTCTGCATATCTAAATGGGGCTGGTGACCATAGCCAGCACTTGGCTTGAAAAGAGAAGTAAAAGAAGTTATTTAACTGCAGGGTGTTTTGGCTCACATTAGACAGACAAGGTTATTAAACACCCAGTGCCACTCACTCGCATATAATTTATGCACAAGCCAAACAAGCTATTATTCCAGGTGTAATCATCAACGGCCCATATGTCTAGTGACAAACCCACCTCTGCCAACACTGTTATTCTTAATTAAGAGTAGGCCTACGCTGTTTACCACAGCAAGACAACACATCAATCAGCACATGTTGTAGTAATATAAGCTCCTTGTAATTACAGCTCATGAGAAGAACAAAGGTTTTAAGAGTTTGGATTTTGTTTCATAATGCTACACTCAAATTGTTCAGAAGCTATCATTTGACCCTTTCAGATGGTTATAATATGTACCACTTAGGTAATAACATGTCCACTTTTGGTGCCAATATGTACCTTTTTAAGTACTATTATGCACAAAGGTGTACCTGTTGAAAGGGTACCACCCCAGTGACAGCTTTTGTGCCTGTATGTAGTGAATGTTTTGCCATGTCATGTCAAGATACTTCCAGTACATATCACGGTGTATCAAGTGTAACATGACTCAAAATACAGAGAAATTTATTAACTCGTTCCTGGGTTGCTATTAAAGTAATACTTTGCCCAAAAAAAAAAATGACAATTGAGTAATTTGGACCACTTATCTGGTACTTCCACAAAGCTTTTTGAAGCTTAAAAGCTCTAGTAAATGGTGGTTTTTGTAAGTACTTTCTATTTTTTATTTTACTTATTGTTCCTTTTTAGCAGTTTGAATAGACCATAATTACAGTTTGTTTGTTTTTTTCATTTTGCACACACTCAAGTCCTGTCATCGAGTTTCAAACTTTCCTTTAAAACAGATTTATCCTCAGCTATGGCATTAAAGTATAGCCAACAACAGCCATTTCTCCACTTTTAGCTACAAATCTGTAGAAGTTAACCCTTTTTAGGGTTTAAAATGAATTACTCTAAAATATTAAGTTGATTGTTAAGTTCAAATAACTTAATTTTTTTCAATTACCCATGAGGTTTATTTACTCCATTTTAAGGGAACGGGTTTAGGTTTTAAAGGCTTAAGTTAAGTCGATTGATTACTGTTTTACAGTGCTCACTAAACTGGACCGGCAAGTAACACAACATCAGTAATTAAAATAGGGGAATGGACAGGTTTAATCTATAATGTAATGAGAACCCATTACATTGTCATGACACATTAGCCTATAGCACATTTCCAGGGTAAGAGGATGACCTGTTTAGATGAAACAGACCTTATTGTGTGGGAATCGCAGGCTGCTGCTGTCCCTCTCCTGCTGTGAGCCTGATGTTCAGCACTCTGATGTGCAAAATTTCGTTGCAAACTCGCTCTTCCTGGATATGCACAGTGGGAACGGAGCCCCTTTTCATCTTAAGCAATCTACTGGGGCCAAGGCTTTTATTCACATTTTCCCCTCCATGGAAAAAACAGGCAGAATATTTAATATGTACATGAATTAGCCCACTGGAATTATTTATACAGGTTCTGTGTCAGGCTTGTCATTTTCCTTTAGAATGTGCTAAAAATGTTGTGCTGCTGCATCTTACTGTAAATTTCACACACACACAAAAAAAAAAACAGAAAACCTTTTAAACCAGAAGAGTCCTAATGACCTGATAAGAGATTTGTATTGTCCTCATTTCAGCTTTCGATCTCAGAGCTCATTGTAACTTTTTTTTTGTACTGATAATATGGGGGGTGGATTTAGACACATCCACGTTTGTCTCATGTTTGTTTCATCCTGAACACAGACTAAACTTCACATCACATAAGCATCCGCTTGTCTATTCCTGCATCTTCTCTAGAAGCCACAGATCTGCCTTGCTTTTAATCTGCAGTAACGAAGGTATTTCCACCCACACTCTTTTTACCATCAAACATTTCCCACAAAAAACTTCTTTTCTCAGGTCTTTTATAGAGGTAATATTTAAGAGCTTCTTCGGGTGTATTGTGTCGCATAAATTTTGTGTTCCCAAATATAAACACAGATGCTTCAATGTATATGGTCTCTAGAAGCTTCTCTTGTGATGATGACAAGGGATATCTCTTCAACTTTGCTTTGGACTTTTCTTGGAATGTAAGGATCTTACCCAATATTCAACAATGATTTTAATTGGCTTGCTCAAAACTTTTCTTGTTGCGCACTGGGAGAAAACTGTGCAAGACATCAGGGCTTGTTAGCATGGTCCAGTAAGCCCCTGAAGGGAGATGGTGTAGCAGTCGTTAACCTTTGACTCATGAGCCACACATGGTTCTTTGACAAAAATCATGTGGCTTACCAGGTCATTACCAACAATGATAAAAAAATAAAAAAATAGACATGTCACCAGAGATCAGCTTTCTGCAGAAAAAGCGAGGAAGCAGCCAATTACAATGTCTTTGCTATTCAGCCAACCAAAGTAAAATAATATTATATATCAAGTTGGACCATGTACTGTTCGTGAGTGTCATGACCGCAATCAACAGCAAACCACATTTTTATAACCCCCCCCTCCCCCCCCCCCTTTTTTTGTTCTTAGCCCCATATCTTGAATTTTGTGATCATTCACATGCATTCATAAATAAATTTTAGGGTCTTGATGTTTGTCAATAATATGAAATATTTTATCCGGAAAGGACAAAACAAATGATAATGAATGAACCCAAAAGGTTCCATTTAGAATCTTATTATTGAACCCTTAAAAGGGGTTCTGTATAGAACCTTTTAGGGGTTCCAAATATGTAGCACCTGAGAAAGAGTGTACACTTCCAATCCAAGTATTATATTCAGATAAATGAGTATACTGAAAACATGGAAGCAAAGCAAGGAATCAAATCAACCGCAGAGAGTGCGTGAGCAATGAAGACATTTCTTCAAGGGTTTTGTGAGCTACAGCAACATATTCAAACTCATTTTGGGCAAGACTGGCACTGGAGTGTACTTCAAAAAGGATGATGACAGAATACAGATGAAAGCAGATGCATGTTCCGAAGGTTAAGACGAGTGTTTGTTCAGTACCAAAGAGAGAAGATGTATACACGCTAGCTGAAAACGCAAGCTGAATGCAAATGTAATCGTACAGAAAGTGAAGAGTTAGCTTGTGGGAGAAGGTTTGATTTGATCACAGACTAAAATACAAGGGACTATATTTAGTCCTTAATCTAAACCCTCTGCCAGCAATGAACAATGGGTCCTAAGGCTGCAGACGTATGACTTCAAAGTAGTACACATGCGAGGCAAAAAGAACATCCACCATCAAAAGCATCAGGTGCAGGATCAGAATGTGAGATTTATAAGAGTGACAACCAAAGCAGCCAGAAGACGCATCAGCCACACATCCAGACTTGATCGCGGGATGGAAAGAAATCATTAAAGGATGATTGCGTCACTCCTTCAGAATAGTAAAGCATATTCAGAGGCAGCAAATGAGCTGTGAAGCATTTGTTACATTGCTTCCTATGGAACACATTTGCTATGGGACATTAGGGATTTGGGAAGACAATCATTTCATAATTGTCAGGTAGACAGAGCTAATGAACCAGAAGCATTTAAACACACACCCATATTTTGTGGACAATGAGAAGACGTGACCAGAAACTATACTGATGAGTGTTGGTAAAATATATTGTATTTTATTACATTTGCGCCATTGCAGGTTATCCTTAGGCTACATTTTTTGTCTACTTTACAAATAATCTTCTTAAAAAGAAACTTTTGCTTCTTTGAAGCTGGAAATGATTATATAGCTACGCATGTTGGAAATCCAAACATTTATAAACACACTTTTTTTCCTGATGGCATCCAGTGTAAAACATTACTGATGGTTTGGAGCTTTCAACACATTCTTAGTGATGCTTTCCACAAGTCGTCCTCATATGTTACAGCTAGATCCAAAACTCAAAATTCAAAAACTATGTTGAATACATTGTAGAAATCAACAAGCCACTCATTGAGAATGAATATTGAGATACTAACTTCAACACAATGGTAGTTCTATGACCAAACATAGTACTATAAAAGCTAATGGGAGAACAGAACCAACAAAGATCATCAAAACTAGACTTAAAAATGTGAAGTCCTGTGGATTAAAAGACCCAACCAGATCCCTGAATAAAATAAGATCAAAGCTCAAATGTAAGGCAACATGTGTTTGGGCCAGACACCCTGCCTGATTGCAAATGCTGTGTTAGAAAGATTGCCAGTTCTCCATGGTGTGCAGTACTGATATGACAGATAAAAGTTGTGGATGTTGGTCAAGCAGTAAGCAGTCAGTTACAGACTTCTGCATGCATACCAATGAATGTCTGAATGTTAATTTGAGTACGCTCTGATTTGTCTTAGATCAAACGCTGACTACCCAAAGGGAAAAAAAAAAATTCTGTATCCAGCAGATACAGGAAAAACATTGCTTAGATGGTTGCTCTTTCAGTTTGCAGAAAGGGTTCATTCAATATTAAGTCCTATAATGTTGTAAGATAAATAAACAGATACAAACGAGACTATTGTTGCAATACAGTACAAGAAGTAGAGCTCTTACTGAAATCTAAGGTCTTTTCCATAAAAATCTGAGAAGATTTAATCTCATTGTTGCATAAGATAGGGGTTTTCGAACTTGAGAGGGATCCCCTTTCTAGAATAGAAAAACAGCTACATATTTTCATGTGCAAAGACCCATTAATAAGAAAATAGTTTTCTCTGTGAGAGAAGTTATTACATATTATGGAATATTTGTGTTTTAATCAAGTTGCCCAAAGGGAAGTTTTTTTCTAAATATAATACTATATTACATATATTATTTTAATATATTCTAAAAACATGAAATGTCTACCTTATGAATTAAATCTAATATATTATATTAAATATATTTATATATATATGACACATATTAATAAATATTATTCCAAAGAATTTTTATTCAACCCATAAATAGTATTCCAAAACATAAATGTTAAAAGTTTTTGATAATTAATGAATAATTAACAATAAATGCTTAATATCTGCAGACCCCCAGCATACCCATGAAAACATCTTGTCTCAGAGAAACGGATCTCATTTTTTCTTTTCTATTCTATAAGTAGAACAGCACGTCAGACTTTTAACCACTAACATTTGACTTACAAAACATGAGGGTGAGTAAATTATGACAGAACCTTAATTTTTCAGGCAAAAAGTGACAAAATGACAAAAAAAACACAACGACATATGACATCTGTGTGTAGCTGGATAGTTTCTCTCAACTCTGTTCTTTACTAATTATACACAAATGCAAAATCTGTTGGAGTGGTTGGATATCTCTCACTTACCTTCAGATCTTGCACTTTTGGGGCAAACACAGGCACTCGGCAGGCCAGTAACGGGCACCAGAATGGAGGCTTAGTCTTTTCATCGTCCTCTACACACACCCATCCAGGCAAGTTCTCTTCTCCTACACATACAGTAATAAGCTTAGCCAAAGGCACAATACTGACTGTCACTGAAACTGAAAGCTAAAAACTAACACATTTATACACGAGAATGAACCCATGAAAATGAAAAGTGAAAGATTCATGTCAAAAACATGTGTGAGAGGCCACACTTACTCAGGGCGATTTTGGCCAGATGCAGGCGATTGACCCAGGAGATTTTGCTAATTGGACTGGGCGTGCCTAAGACCACGGTGAAACTGACTGGACGGCCAGACCTGTCAAGAGATTCACACACACACACACACACGCACAAACTGTGAAAATCCAAGAGGGATTTAACACAATCAAAATCCAAGTGAAACAAAGCCTCTTTCAGTTCCACGCACGACTAAAATTGTACAGCTGTATTTGTGCCAAGAGTCAAAAGAATTTGGTTCTGCTAAAAGGGAAAAAAGTAAGGCAACAACAAAAGACAAAATTCAGCTTAAAGCAGGGGTCGTCAACAGGGGGTCCACAGCGGTACGGCAGGGGGTCCGGCAATTGCTGTTTGATCTCAAAATAATATGCTTTATGCATTAAACAATATTTAGCTAATTTCCTCCAAAGCTTTCATTGTGCTTTTCACGCTATGGTGTTTAATAGCAATGTAATGACTATGCTGCATTTACTTGAATAAAAATATAGTGAAATATTACTACAATTTAAAATAACTATTTTTTATTTTACTGTATTTAAAAATGTAATTTATTTCGGTGATGGCAAAGCTGAATTTTCAGCATCATTACTCCAGTCTTTAGTGTCACATGATGATCTTTCAGAAATAATTCTAATAGGCTGATTTAGTGCACAAGAAACATTTATTATTATTATCAATGATGAAAACAGTGGTGCTGCTTAATATAATTGTGGAAACTGTGCTAAAAATTTTTTTTTTTTTTGGATGAATAAAATATTCAAAAGGAGGGCATTTATTTGAAAGCAACATAAATATAATGCTAGACTATAATAATAATAATAATAATGCAAAGGCTGTAAGTAACAGGAGGGTCCCTGCTCTGTCTCATTACCCACCAAGGGGGTCCTTGGCCTAACAAAGGTCAAAGACCACTGCTTTAAACACTAATGGTCCATTAGTGTTGCCAACTTCCAAAAAGAAAAATGTGGGACACTTGTGGTTCTTTCTAAGAAAATAAGAGACACTCAAAATATTTCAACTGTATCACACAGTATATGTCATTTCAGGTTTGTATGTGTTGAAAAGGTTCTCAGATATAAACACATTTGTTTTGCTTAACCTGTTATGTACAATTTCATTCAAAAACAAACTTTAAGGTCACACAAAACAGCTCAATATAATAACATTTATCTGAAATAGAAAGCTTTTGTAACACACTAGATTTTAAAGAAATGAAAGCCTACTTTTATTCAGCAAGGACGCATTATAATGTTACAAAAGCTTTTTTATTTTGCATAAATCTCCTTTGAACCTTCTATTCATCAAATAATCCTGACTTATTTTTTTTAAAAACATTAATAATCGACATGTTTCTTAGGCGGCAAATCACATCAGCATATTATTCTCTCAGGAATATTTAATGTTTTCTTGCATGGCTGGATGTTGGACTCATGAACAATAATCACGTTGTTTAAATTCATCGAAACTGATTTGCCAAAATCAAAACCCGGCCGGACAGCGAAAGGGATTTGCCGTTAGCGCGAGACCGGATCAAACCGGGAGTGACCAGACAGCTGAGGATTCTGTTTGCAAATCAAATAATTTGTCCCAAAAAAAAATTATTGGTATGGTCCAATAAATTGGATGAAGCGCATGATTGGATGACGACAAGTGTCGTGTTGCTGTTGTATCAGTCAGATCAGCGTAGCACTCAATAAACGGGACAAGAGAGGTCCCGTACAGGACAAATAAATTACCGTAGGCCTAATAATCGGGCCGGGAATTAGCCGGGACAGTTGGCAACCCCAATTAGACTTCATAACCAGAAGTCTTAGAAGTCTCTTAGTTCAGCCTGTTTAAACTTCCATTTGATCAACAAAGGTATTTTGGCTGTGTGGAGTGATAGAGCAACTCCAAAGTACAAATCCAAAAAATGTAAACCTATCTGGTAAAAGTGTGATGAAATGGATGAATGCGTTTCAGTAAGAGAAACTGTCACATCCGCCCACATTTGAAGGGAATTTAATGCACAGCTCTATTTTGCGTAACCTGTGCCCACTGGCATTCAGTGGGTAGTCGACACTCACTTGTCAGGCTTCCCAGGAACCATCAGCCGTAGACGGCACTTGTTGGCACACTGGATCTCGTCCTCTTTGATGCGGATGAGCCTCTGAAGAGCCATGCACCAGTCCTGTCCCACCGTAGTGTTGAGATTCTGTACACGCACACAGTCACATTTACGGGAGACAGCTGTCAGACTGACTAAGCACCGGTTACCACAATTAGCACCTCGATTTTGATATTAACAACACAATAAGCGCAGAGAGAGGTTAGAGAGCGAAAGAGCCTCACACAGGGACCATGAATAGGTATTATTATAGCTATTACAATTAGCTATTCAAATAGAGAGGTCAAAAAAGCAGTTTCAACATTTTTAGCAGGTGTGCTTTAAAAGGAATGGATTTACAAAAGAAAACTTTGGTAACACTTTACTTAAAGCCTTTAAAAGTATTTTGAAATGCATTCATTATGCCTTGTAGCACACCTCATAATGCATTGTATGATTTAATGAATAATTGTAACCCCAGTTATAATATATTATAATACATTGCTACATCTTTATAAAGTAAAATACGTTAAAATACATGATAAACAACCAATTTCAGATGTAACAACGAAGGATATATGAAAATGCATTACAGAATACCTTTATTATGCATTATACAAAAAGTCTACCGCATTGAGGGTGTTAGCACACTGTGAGCACGGTAAACTCTCTCAGAGAAGTTGCATCTCTAAATTCTTCCCTTTCACAGAACAGCCAAGCTTTTGTTACAAATCCACCGTCTTCAACAACACATTTCAAAACAATTACCGTCGAACTTGGAATCGCCTGCTGTGAGCAATGTTTCTGTTATTAAACATAATCTGTTCTTTTTAGTGTGTGGACTATATGTATGTGCAAAGTTAGCAGATATTTAGCATATATATTTCAAATAGCTGTCAGTAAGCTTTGGATATTAGTTAGGGTAGATGTAACTTGAATTATTTTGTTTTTAAATATTTACATTTTCTTGATGAAAATTGTGGAAGAGCTTATCTTATACTACCAAAGCTAAAATAGTCAAATTAAAAAAATTCACAAATAATGTTACAAAAACAAATGTTGTGACATTTTTAACATAGGAAAGAATTAAATGAATGACATAAAAATACAATACAAATCTGTAACTATAAATTATGAAATATACATGATTTAAAGAAGTAGTTCACTTTAAAAAAAAAAGAATGCTGTAAATTTACTCATCCCCATGTCATCCAAAATGTCCACGTCTTTCTTTCTTCAGTCGAAAAGAAATTAAGTTTTTTGATGAAAACATTGCAGGATTTTCTTCATTGACTTCATTGGGAACCAAACGGTTCAAAGTCCAAATGAGAGTTTCAGTGCAGCTTCAAAGGGCTTTAAACGACACCAGATGAATAAGGGTCTTATCTAGGACCCTTCGAGTCCTGACTCGAAAAAAGATTTGTTCATTTTGATGAACGAGTTTGAACAGGAGAGTCACGAACGCTCATCACAGAACAGAGCAAGGCGAGCATTTGTGCTTATAAAACTTAAACTTTTTTATTTATTTTTAAAATGACCGATCGTTTCGTTAGATAAGACCCTTATTCATTGTCTGGTGTCATTTAAAGCCCTTTAAATCTTCACTGAAACTCTCATTTGGACCTTGAACCGTTTGGTTCCCATTGAAGTCCATTATATGGAGAAAATCCTGGAATGATTTCATCAAAAACCTTAATTTCTTTTCAACTGAAAAAAAAAGACATGGACATCTTGGATGACATGGGGATGAGTAAATTATCAGCAAATGTTTTTTAAGCAACGTTTTGGGCAACACCTGATCGGTGTCTAGTGGAGACATCTCTATAAAAAGCCTAAGGGGTTCCTTAATTGGATAGTTCACCCAAAAATGACTCATATACTCGTATGGTAAACAGAAGTTACAAATAGTACTCATATTTACACAGCTCTTGCCATCTTTTGCATCTCACATCTCTCATCGATCTTTTGCAGAACACAAAAGAAAGCATGTCGAGAAACACTGGAGTCCAAGCATTGACTTTCAGAGTATGGACAAAACAAAACACATTTCTCAAAATATCTTCTGTTGTGTTCCAAAGAATAAATAAAGGTTGTAGGCGAGTACATTAAGACTTTTAAATGAACTGTCCTTTCAAGAACGACAAGTCATTCAGATAACTATGAAAATATGTTTTGCACATCCCTATTAAGAAGGGAATCATCCGCTGACAGTCAGAAATTGATCAGATGTGCAACAGAGTGATGATTAAGGATTTTACCTGGTACGATCCCTGCAAGGTGCCCACCAACAACGTGACTTCCTCTACCACAGAAAGATCATGCTGTAACTCCTGCAGTTCCTGGAACAGCCGTGGTGGTCCCAGAAACAGCTTTCCTGAACAAATAACATTTCCATGATAATCAGTAATTGTATTCACATTAAAGCTTTAGGGTCTGAAATAATACGCCTCCAGCAAATTCTTGCAGCGGAAAGGCTGGGCTCAACTAACATTGTAATTCAGTGGAGTATTTGTATCAGGCTGAAAGCTCCCACACAGCAGGAAAGATGTGGAGAAAAAGTTGAAGTTTCTGATGCAAAAAAAAAAGTCACCCAAGGACTTTTGGATCATGTTATCCGGGAATTAGACCCTCTGTAGTGTCCTCTGACTGTGAGTGTATATTATCCCTGCTGGAGAGTATGAGCTGGGTTTAAAATTGAGCTCTGAGAAAACCTCAGGTCTTCTGAACAAGATGAATGTACCAGGAGGAATATGCACTGATATTAGTTCTGGGAGAGTGATTTGTCAAAGGTGAAACAATAACTCTGAGAAAATATAGTCAGAGAATAATCAAAATCTATATAATTTATAAGGAGATTGGAAATTAATACTATGAGACAGTGTTTCCTGCTCCACTATTTAACAAACTAATGTATTCCTTTATAATTCATAAACATATTCCATTATTGTTCCAATTCTTTTTTAATGAAATTCACATAAATCTTTAGGTTTGAATCACTGACTGATACTGAACTGTAAGCTACCTTTTTCAGTCTTATTCAAATCAAATCAAGAAGCCACTGTGTTAATACTGACTGTTTTTTTATATTACAACATGTAGGTAAAGATATTATTATTATTATTATTATTAATTATTTTATTAATAATAGTCATTACAAATGACATAATACTTTATTTTAACGTAGTTACTTAATTTAATCAAAACAAAAACAAAATAATAAGAATGAAATTGTTAAAATATTAAAAAGTACACATACTATAGTTAAAAAAATGAATGGTTGATAAAATTTATTGTTTTTGAAAGACTCTTATGCTCACGCATTTATTTGATCAAAGATACTGTGAAACAATAACATTGTGAAATATTACTATTTATATTATATATTACTATATATAGTGTTATATTATTGACAATATTTATGCTTATTAATTATTAAGTTAAAATAACAGTTTCCTGTTTTAAATGTAATTTATTCCTGTGATGTCAAAGCTCAATTTTCAGCATCATTACTCCAGTCGTCAGTGTCACATGATCTTTCAGAAATCATTCTAAAAAAAATGTCTTATTATTATCAATTTTGAAAACAGTTGTGCAACAACAATAACAACAAAATAATAAAAAAAAAGATTTATTTGAAACAGATATTCATTTGAAAACAGGCATTCATTTCCTTTAAAAAAAATCTCACTGACTCTTTAAAAAATTTAAATAGAATTTTCTATATATACACACATACATACATCGATATAGAAAAAACTGCCATGAACAAGCTTTACCGACTACATCAAAAAGCCAAGTTCGTTATTTTTCCCATGCTCCTCTAACCACATGAAAGGAGTACACTTAAAAATACCAACCTTGAGAGTTGGTGGAGCTCAGGCGCTTGCTTCCACTGTGCTGGTAGACGTTGTCTTTACACTGGGGGGTCTCCTGGCCCACCTCCACCACTTGCACTTGCAGCAGGGGGGCACTCCATTTAACTGCGTATTTTGGACCGATAGGGACTAGGCTGCTGATATCTGGAGGACCTCTGATTAAACACAAAAGATCGCAAAACAAAGTCCAACTCGCAATTACAAACAATGCATGATCAGAGGACGTATGAACGATGGTGACGGAGATCCATTAATTAGACAGGCAATTAGAGCTTTGTGATCAGAAGGATTCCCAGACGAGCCTAACCACCCCTACTGTGATTTCAGAAAATTATTATTCATGTATTCCTCTGTTATGCATGATCTGCGCTGAGAACAGCTCGATGAGATTGAGGAGTGCAGGAGAACTTTGAAGCGAGTGTAAAATCAAGTCTTTGAAAACAGCATGACCCAGTGGTCATTAAAGAAAAAACCTGCCAGATGTGAGAACGTTACCTTGGCTCCTCAAAGATGTTATCAATGCCCGTTTCAATGTCTCTGTGTGTCAGTTAAGAGGGAGTTAAAAAGAAGATGGCCTTAATTCTTAAATATTTGAGCAAGTAACTGAATTCCACTCGTTTATTAATTTATCGCTAAATTAACCCAGAAATGAAAGATCTGACATCATTTACTCACCCTCATGTCATTCTAAATGTCTTTTGTCAAACGCAAAAGAAGATGCTTGGCAGGATGTTCATACTGCTCTTATCCATACAATGAGAGTGAATGGTAACCTCATATGACTCATGCACTATATAACATAGGTCTTCTGAAGCCATACAATAGCTTATCATTCACAGAAAATCCTCACTCCCCCCACCAAAGCTCTCCAATCTCATGTGCAATTGAAATATTTGCATATGGACATATTTAATCTGGCACGTTGCAATCGGTTACGAAACACGTGAGAACCAATGATGTCAAACCTGATGTGATATGTTTCGACGTGCCAGATTTGAACATTAATGAGATTTGAAAGATGCGTCGTCGGAGAATATTTTTAATGAAAAACAACTTAAATGTGTCTTTTCCTCAACACCATGCTATTGTGCAGCTTCAGATAACTTGAAATAAAGCGTCATATGGACTACTTTTATGGTGCTTTTTGTATTCATTTTTGAAGCTTGATGGCCCTGGGTCACCATGCACTTTGATTGTATGAAGAAAAAAAAAAAAGCAGTGTGAACATTTTACTAGGCCTGCAGCTATCGATTCTTTTTATAATCGAATAATCGAGCACTTAATCGATCGATTAATCGAGTAATGGGATAATTTGTTTGTTTATTTTTTAAATAACCAAAACAAATAATGTATAACGAAAATGATAAGGTGTTTGGCTTTTTTTCTTTAAAAAACAAGAGGTATTAATTCCAACTCCAACATTTGGCTCCAAAACTAAGCCTATTTATTAAAATTTTTACCCATTTAGTGTTTATAAGTGCCAGTGCCAACAATTATATAACAAGACAGTTAAATTAATTTACTGTAAAACAAGTAGCCCATAACATGTAAAGCTTTGAACACAAATTTAAACAGTAAAGGCCATTTGGCCTTAGTTTTGTCTTCCTAATACAACATTACAAAAAAAGGATTGCACCTTCTGCAAAATACCCACCTGAAAACAAAAATAAATTAATATACAATATCAATTCAAACAGGTACACAAATGTATACCATTTCTAAAAATATAAATGTAAATAAAACAATTATAAATAAGGATCAGACTTTTTCAACTGTAATCTCAAGACAAACATCAAAATATACCTAGCTGAGTGTGTGAGTGTGTTGATCCCAAACTTTAGACATTCTTTGCCGTTTATGAGGTCACATGAACTCAAATATATCATGCGCTATGGTGTGCTTCCTGAACAACGGTCTGTGTGAAACAATCAGATCCCTGCGTGGGCGTATAGGAATTTAACAAGGCTTCGAGGAAGATTTTTTGCCTCGAGGAATTTTTGTAATCGAGTAACTCGAGGAACCGTTTCAGCCCAATATTTTACTAAACTTTTTTATTTCACAGAAAAAAAAAATGAAGGTTTGAATAGCAGAAAATGACAGAATTTTCCTGTTGGGGTGAACGATTTTTCTAATTATAATGCAACATAATTAAATGAGCTTAAATCTCTCTAATGAAAGGACAGAGTTGTGATGTTCACATTGCTGAACATGTGAAGAGGAGTGCTTACTTTACATTGATGTTTGCACAGACGAGCATGTCATTCAGGAGGAAGACTTTGCGCTCCTTAGACTTGAGGACTTGACCCTTCTCACCATAGACGGTCTCAATCAATGTCTCGGACAGAATCAGCTGCTTCTGATCAGAGTTCAGCTGCTGTTTAAAAAAGAATCATTTTAAAAAGTAAATGAATACATCCACACCATGACAGAACACTTGCATCACGTGCACGTGCTCTTCAGTTTATACTCTTGACTTTGAAGTAATGTCTTTTCATTGATCTCATTCTTCTTAATTCATTCTCTTTCTAACAAACTTTAATGCAACACTTGCACAGTCTAACAAATCTAGAGGTTAGAAAAACTGCTTATTTGCATATGAATGTGAGATATATTTGTGCAATGCATCTGCTGAGGGAAGTGGGAACTCTCTAGTACCGTGGTTCTCAACTAAGGGCCCCATGCCCACTTGGGGGCCTCAGCAAACTTCCAAGGGGGCCACAGGGTGATTTAAAATGATCTAAATTAATATTTTAAATGTGTATATTGTTAGTAATATATTAAATCAATCTAGCTTAATTAAATTGCATAAAAACAAACTATTTTTTTCCCTACTCAATAAAACATACAGATCTGAAAATTCTGAAAATAAAACTTCTGAAGTTAATTTACCTATAACGGCACTCCCAGTTTTTTTTTAAGAGAGTACATTTGCTAAAAATTATTCTGTGATTGAAATAACCAAAAGTGATGCAGAAGGAGGGAAAAAACTATAATTTAGCTTTACTCAAAAAGTGGGTAGAAAAATTTGAAAAATTATACATTTGCTAAAACTTATTCTGTGATTGAAATAACCAGAAGTGATGCAGAAGGAGGGAAAAAATTATAATTTAGCTTTACTCAAAAAGTGGGTAGAAAGAAATGTGCTGTTAACTCAACACAAAGTACTTTAAGCCAGATCATTGTGTTTTTGGGTTGGTAATACTTTGAAGTGTCCCATGTTTGTTTGTAGTGCGTTGGTTTCTGACCTTACTAAGGGTGCGGTCACCGATGCTACGAGCGAGTTGTTGAATCTCGGCGAGCTGCTCGGCCAGCCGTTTCTGCTCGTTTAGCTTCTCGGCGAGAGTCTCAAGCTCAGTGAGGGCCAGCTGCAACGGCAGCCTGTCCTGATGCCCTGCAGGGGTGTTTTTCAGCATATCCTGTGGGCCACACACAGATATGTCAGCATATATTCATTCATTACTACCAAATCTGTCATTCAGCCAACGCTTCAGTCCCCTGCAAGCAAAAGAAGTTTCTCAAGGGCAAAAATATCTATGTGTTGTGGGAAATAAACCTACAAAAATTCAGTTATTCCAGTATAGACTTTTACTTTACTTTACTCAGTGAACATTTACATGCAATAGTGCACATTAAAAGGAACATGAAATGAAAACTGACCACATTTACCATAAAATCAAGTCCAACCCTCACTGGAAATATGTCAGATTACGGATATAAAATGGACTGTAAAAACAATTTTATAGAAACCTTTCTGTGATTTCTCCAGTTGAGGCATTTCAGCTCATTTTTAACTGTACATATGAACTCAAATGTCCCGGAAAAACAGCCTGCAGTAACAGCACCCTAGAGGCCACATGCAAATGAAGTCATTGCATAAAAGAATGATCTAATGACAAAAAAAAATAATAGAGTCTTGTAATCAGAACATACAAGAGTGATTTCACCAGCGTTTAGGCTTACATATTTGAACATTTGCTGTACAGTATTAGATCATGGTTTTGATAGTAAGCACATGTTATGTGTAAATTTAATGTGCTTTACTAGCAATCTCTCTTTCACTTCCCCATACAGAAAAGCCTGAGGAAATTCCACCATCATAAAATACTCTCTAAATAGTTAAACGTATTAGGGTCATTAACTGTGTGTGTGTGTTTGAAGGTTTCAGAGCACAAACCTGCAGGAGGAGTATGAACTGAGGAAAGCGTTGGATTGGTTTGACCATCAGGCCATAGAGTGTGATTCTGTCTGTACTGGCAGCCTGCTTCTTCTACAACCCAGAACACAAAATGTTGTAATGACTATAACAGTGTTACAATGTCCAAAATCACTTGAAACCTAACCCTAAATACAGGTATGAACAATTATGCTGCCTTAGCAAGCAGATTTAAGCACTGACGAGAAACGATAAACAATTAGGGGCAGGTTGAGAAGTTTACCTTGAGGAACTCCAGGAATGCTGGCTTGGACATACAAGCTTTCTTGATCAGAGCCATCGCATTAGTGAAGTTGTTGACATAGTCACTGTACACATCTAGCACCATTGACTTGGAAAACTGAAATAAAGATAATGATAAACTCAGTGGCGGACATAACAATCCACATTTCAGACATAATATCCATGCGCTAATGATCCGTGACCGTACAATGTGCACTGAGCTTGCATTTCTATTGTCAATAGTTATGAAAAGGGACTATTTGCATGATTGTTTTGAATTTTACTGATCCAGAGTTCTTAAAAATAATGTGCTCAGCTGCATGCGGAGGAAATTTGCACACTTAAAATAGAACTGCTGACTAAAGGATGTTCTGTTTTTCCATTTGCAAAGATCCCTCATCACAGACACCAAAAGAAAACAAGTCATGTTAGGGTCTAAATACAGACCATTACACATTAATAAACATATTGACTTCAATAAGTTGTGCAAATCCGTTGTGCAAATCCAACTTATTGATTTCAATAAGTTGTGCAAATCCACTGTATCAATGCTATGCAATTGTGCAATCTTTTAAATCAAAAACAAGTATGACAAAATGATTGCTCAAGCAGAGAAATCCTACATGTTTTGTAACCAGAGCAAAAAAAAAAAATCTATGAACAAAGAATCATAAGCTGTGAAAAACACCACAAATTGAATGTTTTAGTAGAACAACAGGAGACCTACTGAAGCAACAAAGAGATCTCCGATTTTCTCAGTGCTATCCCATTCTGCTACACGGGACGCCAGAGCAATCTGAAACATGGAGTGACACTGTAGGATCTCCTTCAGCCTATAAAAAACAGGCTGGATCTTCTTCAAGCTCAGGATCCGGGGCTCCGCCTCCATCAAAGGCTTCTTATATTCCTAAAATATAATTCAGGCGGTAGGTATGAGTCTCTTTTACATTCAGATTGTGATGTATCTATTCATTTAATAAAAACAAATCACATCTATTTTTGGCAATTTACAATATTACAATATATATTTTGTTTTTGTCTCCAACCTGCTGAAAAAAAAGCTTAAATCACCCTGCCCAAGTTAGTTAGGATGGTCAGTTTTGATGGTTTTCAGGCTTGGAGACCAGCTGGCTAACCAACTTAAACGGTCTAAGTTGGCAGTTTAAAGATTTTTTCAGTATATTTCCCCTTTGTGCTATATTTCTATTTGTGCCAACCCTTCCACTTCACAGAGAAAATGAAGGAATGTTATATTCAGATGTGATGTCAGAATTGTGTCACTGACCAGCAGGATCCTCTTGAGTGAGTCTAAGTAGCTGCTTTCACTCTGGATGATAGAGCCAAGAATATGACGTCTGACAATCTGTACATACAAAAGCAAAATGCAAAATGCTCATTTCAATTATATAAAGCTAACTGACAGCACACCAGCAGCGTTATATTTAACATAAAATAAGTACTATAAAAAAATACTATAATTCAAAAGTTTGGGAACAGTGTGATTTTTTTAAGTCTATGGTGTTAACCAAAGCAATTTAAAATAACTGTTTTCTATTTGAATATATTTGATCCAGTGATCAAAGCTGAATATTCAGCATCATTACGCCAGTCTTCAGTGTCATGATCCTTTCGGAATCATTATAATACATTATAATACTGCTCAACAAAAATGTCTTATTATTATCAATGTTGAAAACGGTTGTGCTGCTTAATATTTTTGTGGAAACCCCAATACAGATGCGAGTCTCGAAAGTTTCCCATTCAAACCGCAACTTACAGTGGCAGTGCCGTGTGAACGTGTCCATATCATAAATGAGTAGGGCTAGTATGATACTGACAGGAATGCAGACAAATTCACACACAAGTACAACACACACAAACACGCACCTGTTGGCCACTGAGTCCTTCTGGCATTGGAGAAAGTTGAGGTGGTGGATGTTTGAGTTCGGATACAGTCACATCCAGATATCCAGAATCATCCTCTGTGTCATCTGCACATTGACACACTTTAGCACAGTTAAACTCCTCATGTAGACTGTCAACACTGACTATTCCAATTTCTGTCATATTAAAATCTCACTCCTCCCTCTAACGTACACACTATTCTGTAGCTCTGTGATAATATATAAAGATAACAATTCACACATTCAAAGAGGAATCTAGTTTCTAGTATTGTTTCTGTACTGAATCCTACCAGGTGTGAGAAAAAAAAACACCAGAAATGAACAAGAGGAAACGAGAGTGAAAAAGTCTGAGTCAAACCTGTGCAGTCTTTTTTACTCAGGAAGGACACTTTGCGCATCATGGCTATTTTGGTCTTTTCCAGTCCATCCTTCGTGCCATTCCTAGCTGCTTTCATTAGCTGTTGAACCTATGGGAGGAAATAGAGAGATAGGCAGACTGCATAAGATGACAGCGGGGAACAAAATGATTCAGCAAAACTAAAAGCGAGGAGATAAATTCCTGTTTCTGGATCAGCGTGTTTAGCAGCAGGCCAAACCCTAAAGGACCCTCTCTACTCAGTTGGATTTCACACAGTTTCATTTTCATTGTACAGAAATAAAAATTGCATTGATCAATGATGTGCATGATGGACTATTTCATACCTACAAGCTGTGTGAATTTTGGTGAATACTGACTGAATTACAGATGCAACTAAAACTACATTATCTAGATTTAGTCTAATGTGAAATATAAAACTGATCCTAAAAAACTGGGACAAAATGTGCTGCAGCTATGTTTCTGCTTCCTTCTCTACAATGTTTTTCCTGGAAAATCATTCAATATTCATCAAAACCCCCCATTTATATATTTATATACATATATAAAATATCTCGTTCCGTTTTGGTTTTGTTTTCATTCTGTTCCCTGTTCTGCTTTGCCCCTGAGTTCTGTTTGCTAGTTAGTTTCTATGGATTGGATTACGTTCAACTGTTGTCCCTTCAAAAGTTTTTTTTAAGAAACCTTTGCTCACCAAGGCTCTATTTATTCGACCAAAAATACAGTAAAACTATACTAAAGATAATCTATGTTAGAGATAAAACGGTGAAATATTATTACAATTTCAAATGACTGCATTTATTTGAAAAAAAAAATATTTTGTAACCTTATAAATGTCTTTGATAATTTAAAAGCACCTTTGCTAAATAAAAGTATTAATTTCTAAGAAAAGGCAAAAACAATACAGTAGATTTTACAAAATATTACAATTTATATTTTAAATATTGCAAATGTATTATATGCGAGAGCCATTTTGCCTCGTCTGGTGTTTCTAGCTACCAGTAGAACAAACATAAAATAAAGGAAATTCTAGAAAAATCCCAAACAATTTCTTTTACAGAGTTGACCCATCATAGCTAATACAGAAAATATAAGCATAAGTTGACATTTTGTCCCATGTCTCAAGAATCAGTGATAACCACACATTCACCACTGTATAAATGTACCTTAATGTCATAGTTTTGTTTGAGTTGGCCAACATCTCGAGCCCCTAACCGCATGGCTAGCTCACGCCTGGTCTGGACACAGCGTTGCTTCAGACGCCGTACATCGGGGGAAATCTATATCCATTACCACAAAGTCATGTCCGCGAGCAGTAAGGAATAGAGTGAATAGAGAAAGATGGCCGATAAAGAGAAGAGGAGGAGGAAAATAATGAGATCGAGGGGAGTGACAAACACAGGCATAGAGTGATAACATCAAGGCCAACAAGAGAGGGAACTTGAAGACAGACATAACAGTGTAAACAAGACAGCAAGACCACAGATTTAGCCACAGATAGTGTCTGTCTCGGTTTACGATACTAAATCTTCACACTTAAACAGCTCTACTACTCATAAATTACTCCTTAAACAGATGTACTCAAATTCAGACTGCATAAGGCCCAGTCTGAGCTCTTTGGTTAGTCTAGTTAAGGCTTTCTGTACCTGTTTTCATGCATGATGTGCAACATCTGTGGATTAAGACCTGATCTTCTCTGCATGCATCAAAAGACATTAACTAAGAACAGGAACAGGGTAAACCCGGCAAGGAAGGAGAACTGAAAGAACCAGGCGTCGAAAAAATCTTTCCTCTTTCCTTTTTTAAAGCTGAAGTGTGTTATTTCTGCTCTACTTGCATCACCAAACAAAATTTACATTAATAATGACTGTTTTTAAACTGATTTCAAGAACACGCCCCAAACTGCCATTGGTCATCCAAAACAACAGCCCAAAACACACCATTGGCTGAGCTACATAGAATGCTATATTTTAAAGAGATTAGAAGGAGAAACGGTTAGACAGACCCGGCATTAGGAACAGCACTGACGAGTGGAGAGATAACACCGGTGCCATGCAACATCAATTTCAAAATGAAACACATCCCTCAGCATGATTATGATCACTGTTTTGCTTTTTTTCCATATTAAATCTAAAGGGGGGAATCTGTTAAGACTGTGGTTGCTATAAAATGTTGAAGCATCATGTTTCTAGCTTTTAAGAATGCAATCCATTTATAAATATTTTTTTAACACTCTTGATGGTGAATGGGCAGTGTCTTTGTACCTTATTGCGGGTGGGCTGCTTGGTCTCGCTGTCTGACTGCTCGTCGTAACTCTCAAACTCACTGGAACCCCAGCCGTTGTCTATCAGTGCGGACTCGCCAGACCTCTGCACCTCCTCATAGATCACATCATCCTCTGAACAATAACACCGAAAGAATTATGTGAGGTGGGAGGAAGATTGATGTCATGAATCATGTTACAGTAACAGGAAACATTTGCACAGGTTGGTTACTATAGGATGAAAACAAGTACTTGCTTGCTATGCAGATTGATTGATTATAGAAGGATTCCTCAAGGGAAAATTATATTACTCAGAGTTTGCACTTTATTAGCACCTTCTGCAATTTTGGGGTTCTGGGTCTTATGGCCTCTTCATGATTCACAGATGCCCCTAGTGGGTTCAAGTAGTGAAATTTAGTGGCTCAGGATGGTCACCAAGAAGATCTGTCACTGTCCTTTGTGCATTCATGGATATGTTTGTGTCAGATGTTTCTCCAAAATGTATTTAATGTGGATATTCCAGTTCAGAAATATTGTTACGGAAATGTTTGAACATGAATATTTAGGCAAATCTGTCCACGGTTTGCTAAACTCTTTCGAATCTCTACACTGTAAGAAACAAATCCGGTAACACTTCAGTATGGGGGACACATATTCACTATGTACTATGACTTTTGCCTCAATAAACTAGTATTAATAAACAGCCAATATACTCGTAATATGCCAGCTAAAAAGCAACTAAAATAAAAGTGTTACCAAAAATCCATAGAAAAACAGATAATGCCCTGCTATAAAATTAGTTTATGGACAGTTCCTTCAACTTTACACAATGCGTAATTCAAATAGTGCTAAAACAACACGTGTGAGATTACAGGTTTTTTGGAGAAAAAAAAAACCTGTAGAAAAGTTTAAATTTGCTCTCCATTTCACCTCATTGCTGTCTTGAAGAAACATTTGAGATATCAAAGAGCATTCATGTGTGAATATTCATTTGGGTGATGACATTGTTGACCTGGACAGGTAATAGACACTGACCTGCATCTGGGGGCGAGTTGTTCTCACACGGCACATCATCGTAGATGACCTCTGAGCGAGCAGAAGGAGCTGAGTTTACCTTCAGCTGTTCTGGTGGTGAATCTCCAGCTGATTCAGAAACAGCTTTCCCTGGAGGAGAGAGAGACTTAGATGGTTCCATGGATATTTGAGCATATTCAAAGCACGGATATTCAAAGTAGGATGGGATACTACTTTAAGTGAGCAGGACATTGGGTGTAAGATCATATTTGAAGGACCAATAACAGCAAACCTCATTTGATAATCATTTATCAGAACTTCAGTGAGGTATTAAGCACAATCACTGCAGGTCGAGCGCAAATGAAATTCAGCCCCGATTAGCACAGAAAAGCACGTTAATAATCCTTCTGGCACATTCCGACAAAAGTGCTACACACATACTCCTCCACACGAACGATGGATTGACAATACATACACTTGTCTAAGTTGTCTCTACTGTGACAGTGTGTACAGATTTGTTGACAGCCGCTTTTTACCTAATGAAGTCGCCTGCTGAGACTCCCCCACAAGAACTTAAAATACCTCAAAGTGAAATGTTCTTCAAACTGTTTAGGCTCTGACGAATATATAGAGACTACTCTCTGGGATGTCAGGGGGAGATCTTTTAAATTCGGAGAACACATTAATTAGGAGTGGGAGTACAATATAAATATGTTTCCTGGGAATATTCCAGGTTAAACACAAGTTAAGCAGCGATGGCACACTGTTGTTTACTGCAGGAAAACTGCATTTTTTCATCTAGTATTTTGTAAAGATGTGTGAAAAATGATGAAATTCTTCGGGGAAATGGTTGAATTTCTGGTGTGGCACTTGCATTCGTGCATTTCCCTCAACATGTGTGGCGCGGAATGTTTTTCTGCAGTAATTGACATCATGTCACAGATGTTATTGATATAGCTTTACTAGTATTGAAACAGTATTTTTTATGTGGTTTTATAGATGACACTGACACTGTGAGTGTAATGTTGCACATATGTAAAAGTTTATAAACTGAGGAAAAGGCACAAAGATCTAAGGGTGTAGATATGGAAGTAAGATTTATTACTCATAACCATGTCATAGCAAGCGCCTGTGCTTACAGAATACAACGCAGTAGGTATATCTACAGCCTAAAACTACAGAACTACGATGCCAAAATACTCCCAACAGTCTAAAATAAAATACTTCACAGGGTTGACAATCATTCCCAAACAAATACAGCAAAGGGTTGACAGATCTAACTATGCTCTGTGTAAGGGATAATGTAGTCAGCTGGTCATTAACGCAAAATAGACTGCTAATATTACACGGCTCTTGACCAAATAAATAAATACACTACCATTAAAAGGTTTGAGGTCAGTAAGATTTGTTTTTTAAGGAACTTAATACTTTTATTTAGCAGATATACATTCAATTGATCAAAAGCGACAGTAAAGACATTACAAGATATTTCTATTTCATATAAATGCTGCTCTTATGCATGGTGTTTGAAGGATCATGTGACGGTGAAGCCTGGAGAACTTTTCTAAATATTTTAAATTAAAATAATATTAGCAATATTACTGTTTATACTGTTTTTTTAATGAAATAAATGCAGCCTTGTTGGCATAAGATACTCCTTTCAACAACATTTTAAAATATCTTACCGACCACAAACTTTTGAACGTTAGTATATGTGGACAAGTAATATTGTGGACAAGTTGATTTTTTTTTTATCTTAATGATTCCACCATCAAAAACAGTCCACTACAAACAGAGTATAAAACCATCGGCCCAGCTGCATGAAGAATGAAACAATATTAACGTAATATCAATAACTGAGATGAAAGAAGGCGCAGTCCTCGGTGATACGAGAGACATGAAAGTAACGCCGGTTTAGGTTACCTGGATGAACAGACTGATTATGCCATGGGTGACAGAAAATATTAGGAAATATCAGACCGCTAGGGTGGCGATCGACCAGTCAGAATCAAGTATTCCAGAGAGCCGTGTAATAGAAAAAGGATATCTATGCACGTATGATTTCATTCAAATACAAAGACGGCACAACTATAGCAACTGTCCAGGGGAGTGGGGAGTGTACCTTTATGCAGTCGCAGAGTGAGCTCTGAAACCACACTGAACCATTCCCGAGAGTGAACCGGGGCTGCACAGACATAGTAGATACTGTTTAACAGCCGAGGGACACAGCTTTGAAGTCACTTCTACTATGACCATTGAATTTGACGTTACCATGCCTTAATCCTTTATTCCAAGTAAATTTGGAACATGCATTATTTTTTTCTCAACGATGTTTTCACAATTTAGGAAAATAAATCATATTGACAAGGGCACATAACATATTCATTGTATGATTTTGTTTGCATTATCACTTGTTTGTTGTGTTATTTGATTGGATTGCAACAGAATCATCAAGAAAAAACTCCAAAGAATCTGATTTATTAGGCTAAGTCATTTGTGGAAATTTGGCATGGGTGTGATGTTTTCTTTCCCGTGAGATTCCTGTGGGTCTGGATTGGATTAGTCAATGCTATTTTTCAGATCTCTGGTTTCTGTGCTGATTTGTAGATTTTGCATTCGAGTGGATTTACAGGAATGGCATAGCCCCTTCTCAGAGCCACCAACCTGTCTGAACCAGTTTGTGCGGGGACTTCTGTATAAGTGTGTAGAAGCCTTCTGGCCCAAAATCTGAACCTGGAGATACATTTACAACAGACTTGTCAGATTTAAGCACTGAAATGCCTTCCCAGTTGGCATTTCAGAGCTTTTTTTCACTGAGTGAATTTTGTTTCAATTTGTGAATTGAATTAACATTGATGCTTACAATGTTGCATTAAGTAATTCTTTCACAGTGTCTTCATAAAATTTCAACACTGATTTACAAGATTTTTGTTACAACATCTAGCATTAAAAGTTGTTTCCACATTGTTTCAACAGTTTAAACTTTTTCAAAGCTGAAACAACAACTAAAATTATGAAAGTCAGTCACTAGACGACTGGGTTTTTGGAGTTGTTTTGGGACATCCAGCTGGTCCAGCTAGACTGCTTTAAATAGATTCATCCCAAAACATTCACAACAACAAAAATATACAGAAATATGCTCTTAGTATAATACCTTCATAAATATTATTTCTTTTCCAAATGCTCTCTTGTTCATCGGCTACTCGAGGCTCGGCTGAGATGGAACTCCTTAAAAAAAACAGGAAAACAAAAGTACAGAAATGTCCCTTCATGTTTATTCTAATCAGTGTTAATAGGCACATCACATTATCACTAGATGTCACAAGAGCCAGAGCTTGTTGTTTAATAACTAATACAGTACAAAAGTGTTCACGAATGAGGTAAATAATCAACCCTAGGTCTTCACAGCTAAGACAGAATGTATGATAAAGTCCTTTAGAGGAAAAACACTTCAAACAGTAAGCGTATAAAGAATTATAGTGTCTCTATGAATGACATCGTTTAGGAATAATAAGGTTCAAGATATTAAAGTGAAAATTGTTCAAAACATAACACAAACACATAAGGCATACATTTGACTCAAATTCAGATGTGTTAATTCTTACCCATCAGGAGATTGTCTGGCTACCATGTCTGCAGGGAGAACAGAAAGTTTAATTTACCAAATGTCTACCGATGTCTGAATTCACATACAGAACATTTTACACAGAAATTCAGTAATATTATAATACATATTGCAGACTGACCTGGGTATGTTGTGTGAGGATATGTGGGGATATTTTGGTCCTCCAGACCAGCAGGGGTCTCTCCATTTACTGTTTGCTGATTATCCTTTGTAACATGCGTCATAGCTTGACAATAAAGTGCATTTGCGGCAGTGCTACCTTTAGTACTCTCTGAATGCTCAGCATCCACATGAAGAGTTTTTGACTCTTTATTCTGAGCAGAGTTCTCCACTGTATTCTGCTCGTCTTCGCTGTCATCAAACTCGAACTTCTCACCAGTTTCCTCATCTTCATCACCATCATCTTCACCCTCCTGCTGCTTTTGAGTCACACCAGGAACCATGGACTCTGAAATAACACATGGGCTCAATTTAACTGACAAAAATAAGATAAGAAACACATTTTTACATTTCCAGGTTGCCACGGCATTGCTATGCAGTTGGCAGGGTGTTCTGGGAGGTTGTTTGATTGTTACTATGTGGTTCCTATGATGGTCTGAGTGTTTTTTAGTGTTGATAATATGTAGTTGTTCTGAACGTTTGAGAGTATGTGTTTTTCTGAGCATTCCTACTAAATTGTTATACCAGTTGTGATACCCAATGGCTGTTTGAGTGTTGAGATGGTGTTGTAAGTGTAAGTGAGTGGTTGTTTGAGTGTTTTGCGATGGTGTTCTGAGTGGTTGTTTGAGTATTGGATAGTGTTTTGAGTTGCTGTTTAAGTGTTTTGCGATGGTGTTCTGAGTGGTTGTTTGAGTGTTGCAATGGTGTTCTGAGTGGCTGTTTGAGTGTTGTAATGGTGTTCTGAGTGGCTGTTTGAGTGTTGTAATGGTGTTCTGAGTGGTTGTTTGAGTATTGTAATGGTGTTCTGAGTGGTTGTTTGAGTGTTGTAATGGTGTTCTGAGTGGTTGTTTGAGTGTTGTAATGGTGTTCTGAGTGGTTGTTTGAGTGTTGTAATGGTGTTTTGAGTGGCTGTTTGAGTGTTTTGCGATGCTGTTCTAAGTGGTTGTTTGAGTGTTGTGATGGTGATCTAAGGTGGCTGTTTGAGTGTTGCGATGGAGTTCTGAGTGGCTGTTTGAGTGTTGTGATGGTGTTCTGAGTGGCTGTTTGAGTGTTGTGATGGAGTTCTGAGTGGCTGTTTGAGTATTGCGACAGTGTCCTGAGTGGTTGTTTGAGTGTTGTAATGGTGTTTTGAGTGGCTGTTTGAGTGTTTTGCGATGCTGTTCTAAGTGGTTGTTTGAGTGTTGCGATGGAGTTCTGAGTGGCTGTTTGAGTGTTGTGATGGAGTTCTGAGTGGCTGTTTGAGTATTGCGACAGTGTCCTGAGCGGTTGTTTGAGTGTTGTAATGGTGTTCTGAGTGGCTGTTTGAGTGTTGCGATGGAGTTCTGAGTGGCTGTTTGAGTATTGCGACAGTGTCCTGAGTGGTTGTTGAGTGTTGTAATGGTGTTTTGAGTGGCTGTTTGAGTGTTTTGCGATGCTGTTCTAAGTGGTTGTTTGAGTGTTGTGATGGTGATCTAAAGTGGCTGTTTGAGTGTTGCGATGGAGTTTTGAGTGGCTGTTTGAGTATTGCGACAGTGTCCTGCGTGGTTGTTTGAGTGTTGTGATGGTGTTCTGAGTGGCTGTTTGAGTGTTTTGCGATGCTGTTCTAAGTGGTTGTTTGAGTGTTGTGATGGTGATCTAAGGTGGCTGTTTGAGTGTTGCGATGGAGTTCTGAGTGGCAGTTTGAGTATTGCGACAGTGTCCTGAGTGGTTGTTTGAGTGTTGTGATGGTGTTCTAAAGTGGCTATTAGAGTATTGCGATAGTGTCCTGAGTGGTTCTTTGAGTGTTGCGATAGTGTTCTAAGTGGTTGTTTGAGTGTTATAATGGTGTTCTGAGTGGTTGTTTGAGTGTTATAATGGTGTTCTGAGTGATTGTTTGAATGTTGTGATGGTGTTCTGAGTGGCTATTAGAGTTGTAATGGTGTTCTGAGTGATTGTTTGAATGTTGTGATGGTGTTCTGAGTGGTTGTTTGAGTGTTGCAATGGTGTTCTGAGTGATTGTTTGAGTGTTGTAATGGTGTTCTGAGTGGTTGTTTGAGTGTTGTAATGGTGTTCTGAGTGGCTATTAGAGTTGCAATGGTGTTCTGAGTGGTTGTTTGAGTGTTGTAATGGTGTTCTCAGTGGTTGTTTGAGTGTCGCAATGGTGTTCTGAGTGGTTGTTTGAGTGTTTTGCGATGGTGCTCCGAGTGGTTGTTTGAGTGTTGTAATGGTGTTCCTAGTGGTTGTTTGAGTGTTGCAATGGTGTTCTCAATGGTTGTTTGAGTGTTTTGTGATTGTGTTCTGATCCATAAAACTTTATCGACTAAAATAACTAGCTTCCGGCAGACGGCCATAGGCAAGTCGACTTACGTCAAAAGAGTAGGGGCTGGGCAACCACATTCGCCTTTACATTGTGGTGATGTAATGCATTGTATGCGTTGTGGGTTACTCTTTTGGCGTAAGTCGACTTGCGTACAGTCGCGTTCTTCTTACACAAATGCATTGCTTCACTTCAGAAGGCCTTTATTAATTATTACTTATTTCACAGGAATGCTATATTTGTTAAAAAGCCACAACAAAGTATACAAGTCAGACAGACAACTCATAGATGGTTCAGAGTCAATTCTTTCTTTTGGGAGAAAATAACTTTTTTTATTTGTTTATCGTGCACTTTCGACTTTATAACTTTGTAGGATGGCTATATTACACACTGCATGAAAAGAAATTTAAAATAAGGGCACTTTAAGCTGTTCCTAATCACCTCAAAGAGAGGGAATGGAACATGTTGCACATATTGCTTGTCAATAAATAAAGAGTTGTCAATTCATGATACTTTCTCATCTCTTAATCTACATTCAAAAATACTCTTAAAATACATTGCTGTAGTTGTTTAAGTGTTGTGATGGTGTTCTGACTGGCCCACCTCGAAGCCTCGTTGTACAATTTTACAAACATGGATTTGGAGATTTGGGGGTTTTAAGAATAGAGAACAACCCTGGACCTATATATCTATTTTATTTTGTGAGCATTGTGTTTATGAGTGTAAACAAAGCCACACAGCTCTAAGACCTGCCTGCTACGGACTGATTGCAATGTGACTTAGCATGTATAATGCAATTTCACTTAAAAAGCATAAAGACAATAAACAAAACATTGCGTCTTTATAATTCAGTGCACACTCTGTCTCTAAGCAGCTACATTTGTATTCCATTATAATGCTGGACTGAGTCAAAGAGGAGGCTCAAAAATATGTTCACCATAACAGAATAAACCCTTATGAGTCATCAGATTTGTTCAGAAAAACTCACAAGCTTAAGCCAAAACTCCCTTCCTCTGATAACACACACCACAAACACTGAACAGATTCACAAAATAACACAGACAAAAACAATCTGTTACATGCACAAGGTGTGAGTGAGTTGCGAATTGAATCCGGTAAGAGTAGTGGCACAATATATCTTTTGTTGTAAACTACAAAATCAAGTTAAGCAACAAAAACATTGCATCACTTTTTGGCATTTTCTGACCAGTTGTTGGAACGTAATGTTTAGCAAAGGAGCCAAAGCACAGCGATAGAGATTACACACTCTGCACTGGACGGAGAAAAACAGATCATGTGAAGAGCAGGATTACACATCTGACCATATGGTCTCTATAGAGAATGCTCAACTAAAAGTACTTATACCAGTAAATGTTTTCACTTGCTCCCACTATGAAAGTGGGTTGGCAGGCAGCAACCAATAAAAACACAGAATAAATATCTATGCTCACATTACTATGTTTCAAATTTCCCTGCTTTAAGTGCCCTCCATTTTTCCCTGGTGCACATTTACCTTATAAAAGAACATGAATCAGTTACTCGAGTCAATATAAGCTCACATGACTTTAAAATGGCTCTAAAGGTCTGTAATCATGCAGTGCTCAGGTGCTCTATTCCCTTCAACAATCACTAAATCAACAAAAAAAAATGTTTACCATGCCTCTTATCCTCATTCCCTTCACTCCAGCAGAAATATGAAAACCTCTTAGACCCGGCCAAGTGGATTTTGGGTGATGCTAGAAATTTAAGCGGTTGTTTCATGCAAGTAGTCTCCATGGCTTCAGGATAGATGTGTGTCAGGAGCAGGTGACATATGGTGAAAGAATTGTTCAGCTGCAGCATATGGTCAGTTACCTTGAGCGCTGCAGGTTTTCAAGCTCTCTGGAGATTAAGAGGGTAATGCCGTATTCCCTCAACTAAGTAACACAATACTATCCTCTAATATACTCGAAAAGGTGACATATAGAGGTCATTAACAGGTCTTAAACTGTCATTATGGTTTCTCTTTGTATGAAAAGATCACACCCTATGTGTCATGCACAGTTACCCATTGTTTGAGCCTTGTTTGTACCAGAGAGCAGTGAACAGTGTGATGTCAGATGGCGTACCTCCTAAAAGATCTTGGCAGGACCACCAAATCATGACTAAGTACCAGAGTTTGGAAGATTTGAATTTGAATCATAATGATGTACAAGCGTGTCCAAGATACAGAAAATCTTCTAAAAATCTAGTCTAAAACATGCCAAGTTCATGAATGTACTCGTCTCTTTGTATGCATGTTGGTAAACCATTTTTTAAGAAAAGTTTAGTTTGGTGTAATCATTGATTTAATTATAAAAACATTTCATTTTCCTAACGTCTTGAATGCATGTGTGTGTACACACCTTAATTATTATGTTAACAAATATATCATAAATATCCACACCACATGACATTTTACAACCTGAACTAACCTTGCCCTGCCATAAATATGACCACCCCTTTACAAACACACCAAGAAATCAACAAGCAGCATGATCCATGTACCAACCTTTTTTAGGAGGGTTAAGAGATTCTGGAGATGCCATGAAGTTTAATATGTAGTCATGTCTGCACTCCTGTAAAAGAGAAATGTGTTAATATTAACTCTAAAATGCTCAATCCAAAGTCCCTAAACAAACACACAGGATATGACAGTGAAACACAATACTGTAGCCTATCTAACATCACAACTCTAAACTTCAGTGAAAAATGACTTTTGTTGAACTATGTTGGACATTACAGGTTACTAAGAGACATTCCTCAACAGTGTGTGGCAGATCCAGGCTTGCCTTACCAGCTGAGTTCTCACACATCTCCTCCCACATTTACTGGGAAATACTCTCAGCATGTCTCAGAACAACACACAACTCACCCGAGAGAAATGACCGGAGGGTGATACAAAGAAATGTGCAGGTTTCGTTGCGTCAGTACCAGTATTTAGAATGAAATGAGGCAGCAATTCATTAACCACTTTTGATCTCTGTCATCCATGTAGTAACGCCAAGTTCATGAGTTCGATTCCCAGGAAACAAATACTGTCTTTGAATAGGTCATAATTTACTTTAGATAAAAGTGACTGCCAAACTTCACAAAAGTACTTAATAAAAGTTTCTGTCATCTTGTTTTCTGAAAGATAACTCTGCAGCTGGAGGTCAGTGTGCATAAATTATTCACTAGAAAGAAGGGCAGGGGTAAGACCAGGCTGAAGCCAGTGAATAGACAAAGGAAAATAGCATTTTTCCCACTCGGAGAGAGCACAGCAAGGTTGAATGGTTGAGACTAAAGCAAACATAGTAAGAACTGCAAGCCCATTGAATGGCCTAGAAACTCCTTTCAAATAAATAACACAGGAATCACCTTGGACACAGGCACAGTGCGAGAGGCATTTGGACCGCCACACATATTAACTCTCCATACCATCTCTTTTCACAGACTTCTCTCTAATTTACACTGATATCATTCACTACTTCCTGCTGTCTAAATTCAGTTAACCAATGCACTAGACAGCAGATCAGATCATATAAAGGAAGACAAGCTTTTTCAATAAAAAACTGAAGGCTTGAGGTTAAAAATGACCAACATGAATGGTTTGATCCCATGTGAGTCAGCTGATATCAAACCACTGGTAAGTAAAGCTGAAGGACAGATTAGCTTTAGCACTGGACTAATAAATGTCAAATTAATATAAATATCACAAATATACTGTAGTCATCCATTATTGCCATCAGGTGAAATACAGTTGTTTTTGTCTGCCATTCATCATTAGAGGCCAGAATTATATTAATATCAAATAATTATGACAGAATCTTCATATCACAAAAGAAAACAAAAACGATTTTAAACATGTTCTTTATTGTGAAACCAATAATATCAGTAAATGAATCAGATGGCACAAAGTGGTCAGATTATTACGCACAATCTTTTTTTTTTTTTCATCTAAGTGGTATATTTTATATTAATCTACAGTCTCACTCCCCCCTAGTGAGGCATTGTTTTATATTTTCATATCTAAAACAGCATAAGCACTAAATCTGTTGCTCTTATTCCAAAGAAGGACTTACTCACAAGCCTGGCTTTACGTCCCTTAAATGTCACCCCTCTGATATTGTCCTTATTGATCACAAGCTATCAATACAGATCCATTGTCATGTCTGCTCCCATCTTTGCGCAGTGCAGCCATCTGTGAATCTACAATTGATGACACCACTGTCTCTTCATCAGAAAGCACAGCACAGAGCTGATTTGAATTATTTTCCTTTTGTGGAGGAACAAGTTCTGAGGCTCCCAATGCATTAACTGACGCGGCTTATCCGAAGAATATGAAAACTCTGCTCCCTCTTTCTTTTCCCTCAGTCCCTCCCTTTTTTCCTTTCTTTGCACTCACTCCTTCCCCCTGCAGTACATCAGGAGAGAGCAGATACTCAAAGAAACAGGCAGCCAATAGCAGATGATCAGGCCTGCACTCCCACCAATCACAGAAGAGCAACTTTTCTTTCAATAGTTCCTTGCTGGGGGTAGACAGCAGGAGAGTTGATTATCATAGATGGGTTATTTTACCAAAAACAATATTAAAATAAAGTCAATATTTTAGATTATATGGAAATTGTCTCTGACTGTTAGAATAAAAAGTGTTTTGCCTTTAAGATATTTATTTAAGTGTACCTTGGTATGATCATCTCTTCATGCAAGTTCAACGCTGTAAAAAAAATATAATACAAGATCAATAATTTGACATACTGTGGTATATTTGTACATTTTTTACATGCATATTTTACATACATAATGTGTATTTTACATACACACTCAAAAAAATTTAAGTTGAAAATGATTGTACTGAAAAATTACCTCATACCATGATGGGAATCATCATTTAAGTAATGTGCACCTGATCAAGAACAGTGCATTGTGGGTTGATTTTAGACTGCATTAAAAACGTTTATATTAAAAATGACAATCTATTAAAATTGTACAACCTATTATTTTTACGTCAAATATGATTTGATCAGACGCACACTTACCATGTACACTCCGTCTACAGAACTCCCTTTTCTTTTTTATTTAAACCTGATTTAAACGGACACCGCTTGTCACATGTAAGCATAACAGAGATTGTAGTCGGAAAAATTGATAAATACATGTTTTCAGGACACAAAAACAACAATCCGATTCAATTTAGTCGACATTCAAGTCCTCCACGGCGGAGTTTGTTTACGATCCGCTTGTCATCCAACTCAGCAGATGGCGCTATAGTCTCATCAACGGACTCAAATTTGTAGTTCGTGCTGCATCCCATACTCGTGTTTTTGTTTTGTGGACTACATGCTTACTGCCATGAAAGTTCCATGAGTGTTTTAATTGCATATCTGAAACTAAATTAACGCAGTGAAGAGAATAGAGGAAAAATACCTCTTGAGCTAATCTCTTTAATTCCAAGCAACACAGGTAAACTTACATTTTTAAAGTAAATTGAACTTTTCTGTGTACTTCTACACGAATGACTTTAAAATCATGTTAAATGTACAAATCTTTGAGATTTTATAGTGGAAAATCAGCGATCTCCACCAGACAGATGTGTGCGAGATAAAGCCCCGAGTGTGCGCTGAACCCACGTGGTTTGATCGCGAGTCTGCGAGTCTTTTGTTCCGAATCAATCAAAAAACGAGGAAGACGGACAGACATAAGTAGAGCATCTGAATCAGGAAATCTACTTGCTTAATAAACGCATCTTTCAGCACAACCGTCCAAGCCGCAGCCATTTGATACAACACGTCTATATCCCGCCAACTTATTATATTTGTATTTAAAGTAGAGGAGGGAAAGTTTTACTCAGGTGAGTTATAATATTCTCGATGTTTATGATTGCGGCTTCGGATGCAAATGCAGTATAGCATGCTAACATGGCTACGTCTGCATCACACACATATGTAAACGTTATGCTTTTCAAATGCACTTTCCATGGGACATTCGTTGATGATTTCGACTTTTTTAACGGGACGGGGGCAGATATAACACGTGGGTAAGGGAATAGTTTAGTTACTAGTCTGGTTGAAGCAAAGCGGTGCTAGTTGGCTAACCGGCGGCTGCGTTATAAAACATAACAAAGAAACAAATGGAGACTGAGTGAGACAGACGCGTTGCTGCTGATTCTTTTGTTACAGCGCTGCTAGTGTCTTAGCATAGCACAGGACCGCTGCTTTTTACAACACGTTATATTTATATTATCATTAACACCAAGAAACCATGCCTTCCTTGACATTTCTAATACAAAAAGCATGTGTGTGTGTGTTTTCTTAAGGATTCCTTCGCTGTGAGATAATTGGGAATTTGGATCAGCAAGAGATTTGAATCATATTGACATTTGTTTCTTCAGTCGGATGGTTTCGGCTCGTTTGATTCTTATTTCTGTCCATTTATAGTCAGACCAGTAAAATGCTTCCCAACTACTTTTTTTGTTTGTTTTTGTTGTAGGATTTTGTACTATGCCACGCAAGAAGCAGACCGATGTGTCTGGGAACGGTGGATTGAAGAGAAAAAGGGGAGGTGGAAAGAAAAAGGAAAGGGAGTTTAGCAGTGATGATGAGTTTGATGACTTTGAACAAGAAAACACAAAGAAACCTGGGAAACCAGCAGCTAAAGCGGGTCTGCAGCCGGTCACTGTGGCTGATGATGTGAAGGAGAAGATTGTAAGGACATATAATTGCATACTTATTGCTTCTATCTACTGTATTGCCAAGGACCTCCAAATGTGACAGTCTTGTTATGGAACTGTTAAAGAAAGCTTATAATTAATACAATACACTAACTCATTTACTTTAATAACTTTGAAAACTTATATTTATTTATTTTTTCCTGTTCCCCCAAGAACCCCCAGTTTGAAAACTATTAATTGATTGTTGATGGATTTCTTGCTTTTTCTGTTGTGCAGAAACTTGAGGTTCCCAAAGTCAAAGGTCAGCTGCTTGTTTTTGGAGCCACCAACTGGGACCTAATTGGCAGGAAAGAAGTGCCAAAACAGCAAGGTACGATCGTGCATGAGCCAGAAATATTTGGGTTACAGTAGAGTTTCAAGTCGCGCCCCAAGTGAGTCATCTGTGCTAATCTGTTAATTCATTCTAATATGCTGATTTGGTGCTCGAGAAACATTTCTTGTCAATGTTGAAAACAGATACTGCTTAATATTATGCATCCTTGCTGAATAAATGTATTTTTTTAATGTATTTGACTATTTGAAGTACTTGTTAGCCTCTGTGAGAGATAAACAGGATTTAGTTGGCCGAAACTGATAAGTCATATTTTGACATCATAAACCACCAACATCTCTCACAGAAAACCTAAGATAAATCAGCCAGGTGCCGAAATTGACTTAACACGTAAGATTAGACAGAGGAAGTGTGTGGGTTGCAGTCATTTATAGTCTTCACTTTTGTTAGTGAGTATTCATGCGTGTCTGTGTTTTTTTCTAGCTGCTTATAGGAACCTTGGGCAGAATCTGTGGGGTCCCCATCGCTATGGGTGTCTCAATGATGTTGAGGTTAGCTGTGTGGTATCTGGTCCCTGTGCTGCCCACAGTCTCATCATCACCACAGAGGGCAAACTCTGGAGCTGGGGTAAGTGTCCACACAACAACAGTGTTTCAGCAGGTCTTAAAGTGACAGCAGCCTAACCCGCTGCTGTCTGTCATTAATGTTAATCAAAGAACAAAATACAAAAAGAAAGACAACGATGCTGTCTGCACTGTATATGGAGCGATGCGACCCTGCACATTTCCAACAGTAAACTGATACACTGTCTATTTCTAGCAATGGTCACTTTGTGGTGGTGCAGCCCAACAACTGTCATATCCAGTGTAATAAAAATCCAGCAATCTTTTTGAAAGAAAAAACCCAGTACCCAAAAACAACTGAAAAAAAAAAAAAAATTCATTCATTAAAAGATGCGGAAATCCTTTTCCTAATTTCTCTTCCTGGTCCCTCTCAGGTCGCAATGATAAAGGGCAGTTGGGTCATGGAGACACTAAACGATTGGAGGCTCCAAAACTAGTAGAGGGCCTGGGGGAGGAAGTGATAGTAGCTGCTGCTTGTGGTAGAAACCACACCATGGCTTTAACAGGTAGGCAACCATCTGCTAAATGCAAAGTGTTTGTCATATAATTGCAGTTATTATAATTTGTTGCATTGTTAAAATTATAATGTAACTCCATTGTGCTGTTCTTATGCTTTGTCTCACAGAAAATGGTACTGTCTACACCTTTGGAGAAAACAAACTGGGTCAGCTAGGTCAGGGCAATCAGACAGATGCTGTGCTCAGCCCTGCTACAGTAAGACTCTCCCTTGGTTTCATTTACCTAGGCCTCGTCCACACGAAGCCAGAGCTTTCCCTATCCGATATTTTTTTTTTTCCTCGTTCTAAAAAAAAAAAAAAAAAAAAGTCCGTAAACATGGAGGCGTCTCGAAAAATATCTGCGTCCACACAAAACCACTGAAACCAACTGAAAACGATGTAGTAGACGTTCCAGACCAGTATGTGGCGCTGTAATTCTGCCATAGAGATACACTAAAAATGCGAGAAGAAGACTTATAAAAGACGCATAAAAGACGCATAAAACCTCGCGCGCTGTAGGCAATAAAATAAAAGGCTATGAAATAATATTACGCACAGTTGCTTATTTTCTTTTTTACCAAGAACTTTATTGAACAACCATAAATTGCCTGGTACAACATAGAGAGGTCCATGTCCTGATTATATTCTGCTATAGCCTATACGTGCTTCTTTTATTAAATCCATGTAACTGGTTGATGAAACATTTATTAAAATAAACATACAATTTATAAAAAAACGAAATTCACTTCAAATAAGGGCTTTATGCAAAACAAAACTTAATGTGGTTAAAATTGGTCTCCCGATATAGCCTATTGCGCATATGCATGCGGTTCACTCTTCCTAATCAACATAGATTCAATAAAAAATAACATATTTAAACATAAATATTCAACTAAATACATTTCTATAATGAATATAACACGTACGCTTAACCTACAGAGAAATGTAATGTCGGAGTGGAACATTACAGGGGTGTGTTTTTTGAATAGCCAAAATAATCAAATAATTCCCATTTATCGTCTAAAATTATTTTTGCTTTAAATCCCCATCTCTATAAAATACGAAATGTCTATCAGATAACAGACAAGCAGCATACGAAAGATTGTATAGGCCTAAAAAAAACACATTCAAGTAAATAATAAATAAGGAATGTAAGAGGCTCAGAAGTTTCTGCCACATATTATATTATATTATATTATTATACAAGCAGTTTGGCAGTTGTTGTTGTCTGACTAGTCGACACGTGGGGTAATTACATCATCGTTTCACAAAATATACGGATTGGCCGTCCACACGAAAACGCAAGGGTGTTGTTTTCAGATTCATTCACCTTGGGACCCGGTTTAAAAAAATAGCGGTTTCACTCTCCCAAAACGCCGGATCCGTGTGGACTAAACGCCAATACGATAAAAAAATTTATTCGAATACAGCGAAACGTGTCTTCGTGTGGACGGGGCCTTAAAGGGGCTTCCCTGGATCATGTTTTTGTGTTTTAAATGCTCTACAAAACAGCTGCATTTATTTATCTACAGATCCAGTACAACGGGCAGCCAATAGTCAAAGTGGCCTGTGGTGCAGAGTTCAGTATGATTGTGGACTGCAAGGGGAACCTTTATTCATTCGGTTGTCCTGAATACGGCCAACTTGGTATGCAACAATGTAGTCCAATGATGCTTATTTAAAGGGAGAGTTTACCCAAAAATTGTCATCAACTTTGATATTTCAACTTTGTGTTCTGTATCTAAAAGGGCATAACTCAGATGGAAAGTTCATCGCTCGTGCCCAGCGCATTGAGTTTGACTGCGAGCTCATCCCTAGACGGGTGGCTATTTTCATTGAGAAGACCAAGGATGGCCAAGTGCTTCCTGTGCCCAACGTCGTGGCTCGGGATGTAGCATGTGGTGGCAATCACACGGTAAGTAGTGAGTTTGTGGATTATGGTCCAAAGCAAACATTGCTGAATTATATTGTTGCTTTCACGCAGCTGGTGTTGGATTCCCAAAAGCGTGTTTTCTCGTGGGGATTTGGGGGATATGGACGACTAGGCCATGCTGAACAGAAAGACGAAATGGTCCCACGATTAGTCAAGCTCTTTGACTTCCCAGGCCGTGGAGCAAGTCAAATATACTGTGGCTACCAGTGTTCCTTTGCTTTGAATGAAGCGGGTAAGCATGTTATTCCTCCCTGGGGAAAAAGACGCATTTGAATACCCATAATGTATTTGTGGTTAATGCTTCTTTTTCCTCAGGTGGTCTATTTTTCTGGGGAGTGACAAATACGTCCCGTGAGTCCACCATGTACCCCAAAGCTGTGCAGGACCTGTGCGGATGGAAGATTCGCAGTCTGGCCTGTGGGTAGGTAAAGGCAAATGATTCTGAAAATGTCTTTATAAAACATTTTAAAATGTTTGCAGAATGTTGATTAGACGTTGTCTATAATTCCTCTCAGGAAGAGCAGTATTATCATTGCAGCTGATGATAGCACCATTAGCTGGGGACCATCGCCCACATTTGGAGAGCTGGTATGTTTGTCTTCTGTTTAAGGCTTTGACTTGTCTAAAAAAATCTACACAAAAAAATTTGGGGTCAGTAAAATATATACAGTATTTGAAATAATAATTTATTAAGCATGAATGCATTAAATTAATCAAAAGTGATGGCAAGGTTTCAAGATATTTATAATGTTTTTTGAGCATCAAATCAGCATATTAGAATGATTTCTGATTTAGGATCATGTGACTCTAAAGACTAAAGTAACGATGTTGAAAATTTATATAGGAATACATTTTTAGTTTAATTTGTAATAATGTATTACTGTTTTACAGTATTTTTAAAAAATAAATCCCTTGGTGAGCATAAGAGACTTCTTTCAAAAACATTTAGGAAATCTTACTAACCCTAAACTTTTGAACAGTAACGTATATGGTTTTCAAATTTCTCATATTTAAATTTTGCATTTTAAGGGCTATGGTGACAACAAACCCAAGTCCTCCACCACTGCTCAAGAGGTCAAAACTCTGGATGGAGTGTATTCAGAACAGGTGAATTCTGCTGGCAAAACCTGACTCGTATCTTCCCACAATTCTGTTCTCTGTGATATAAAGGTATGCAACTGAAAACTTTATTTTCAGGTGGTGATGGGTTATGCGCACTCCCTGGTTATAGCCCGACAAGACACAGAGCAGGAGAAGGAAAAGCTCAGGAAGCTGCCCGAATACAACCCGCGAACACTCTGATTGGACCCCTCTGATTTTTTTTTTTCAATGGAATGCCTCTGTTCACTAGGTCACCTGGGTAATCACAATTTGGTTGGGGTGAGATTGTTTATTGTTCTTTTTCTTTTTGGGGGGTTCATCAAATTACATTTTTGAAAGACAATCCACCTGTCGGATTAAAGTATTGAATAAGTTGCATTAACTGATATGTGTTGGCTGGGGTGTTTCAGAATGGTAATTGTGGCGTCACACGCCAGTTTTAATTTCACAACAAAACCAGCAACTGCTCCGAGCACTCGGGATTCCACTGGATCCATCCCCTTTACTTAAACATTCCTAATGGAAGTTTATCACATATTTTGTTTTGTTGTTTATTTTACGTAACTTTTACTGTGAGATCTATGTCTGCTCTCTTCCAAAAACTGGTGCTAAATCATTCTAATGCAGACTTAAACTTAAAGACAAACTCACTCCATTCTTGTGCCTTTTTAAGTGAGATGATTCAGGCTGAGGAAGTTCAGTTAGTCCTATGACATCTCAAGTGTTATGGGGCACTTCACCTTTTAAACATCACTTGCATTACTTCCAGCTGCATGTTTTCATCACCATCGATAAGAACATAATTTTCCTCAAGTCAAGTGGCTAATCGGTAAGATTTTTTCCCCCGTCTATTTTAAGATGCTTACTTCTGTTAATCTAATCAGGGAAGTATTTTCAACTCCTGCAATGCAAATGAGACATCAGCTGTGAGATTTTTTTTTTTATTATTAAATTCCTTCTCCCTTTTCTAGAAATCCAAGTCATAAATGTTCATGCCCTTTCTAGTGATGTAAACTACATAAACGCTGTTCTCGTGTTAATGTTAGCATGTTTTGGAAATAATGGACTTGATGTTGAGAAGAGTAGATTGTCCATCATCAGGGACCACAATGTCTTTATGGAGCATTTTTTCATGCAATATATTAAATACTGTGCCATTTCTTTGTGTTCAACTGGGATCACATTATCTTAAGTTCATACAAGAGTCCCATCCAGTTTGTGGGCGAGCGACAAGCTTTTTAAATTGTGTACTTGCAAGAAATGTGTTCATTTGTTTAAGCAGTATATGTCCAGGAACTGGAATTTAAACTCCTATTTTGATTTGTAAAATGTTATTTTGTTTTCTTCATATTAAATAAAGCTTCATGAAAGTTGGTATATGTTGTTACGCAGTATTTTCTTTATCCATGGATCTTATCTTTTATGTATTTTGTTGTTCTCTTAAGATTGACATGAAATGAAAATTCACCTTATATAATGCATGCTATAGATCTTATGAACAATTCAGTTGTGGATGTTTCCTTTTTTTTATTTAGCTCAATGTTTAATCAAAATATTATAACCGAACCATCAAGTGAAACAACAGACTTCTCTCTGGTGACACATGCAGGGCTTTTCCAATCATTTAGTCCATTTAATATTGTTCATCTGCCTCTACTTTTGAGTGCAACGTCCACATCTCAGTCAATCAGCAGCTGATGCATACAACCATGTCAGCCCTACATTTTTCTGCCCCAATATTCTTTTACACTTGGTCGTATATCACAATATTGGAGAAAATGCAGTATTTGCTGCTAATTCAGTTTCAATGTGGTTAACCAGTTTCAGTTTGATTGTACTGACATATCTTAAAGGTCCCCTGACATGGGGTTATTTTATTATTTTATAATGTTTCCTGGGTTGCCCTGTTATTTTTTAGATCAAAAATAGTCATAATTTATAATAGTCTAGGTCCTGGGTAAGATTTGCATGCACTTCATTTAGCGGAGACTATCTCAACTGTTATAGACTAATATGACCCCATTGAACAACATGTGCCAAAATCTCTAACCGGGACGAAAGTCCTGAAAATGACCACAATAGGTGACACTTATATCACAATACAAGTGAATGGGACTTTTTGTTTATCTTTATAGAAATTCTCATACATTTCTACCAGTGTAATCTTCATATTAAGAGAAATACTTTTTGTACACTTTATCTTAAAAATAAAATAAAATATGCAGGTCAGGCAATATCTCATTAAATATGCATACATATAACCTCTTTAAGCTACAGATTTTCTGATGTGATCACAATGTTCACAATGACCATGTAGTATATGAAGTGTTATACCTTTCTCACCAATGTCATGTCGATAATGATTGCGTGTGTTTGCGGGTATGGAATGCCAAAGCTGAATTAATTAAAAATTAATAAATACATAAATCAATATACGAAGATATGTAAAAAAGCAAAAATACAGAAATAAATACAGAAATTAATATACAAAGAAATGTAAAAAGTACAAATAAATGACTATTTATACTTTTATTTCCTTATTTATGTATAATTGTATTTTTTTTCACACATTTATTTATTTCTACATTTATTTATTTATGTCTACATATATTTTTATCCACATTTATTTATTCCAACATTTCTTTGGCATTCACAGTTGCACTTCTCACAGCTGTGAATCCAGGGACACACTCATGTGTCAATTTTTTGGAGAAGCGATTGACCATCCACAGAAAATAGTCTGAATAAATTAACTTGGTGGACAAACTGTTGTTAGCTAGATACAATGCACACCACACCATAATTATAAAACTGATACAAATTCATTATAATTATTTAAATACACAAAATTACAACTGAAATGATAATGACACGTACTGTAAATGTACACGCCAACACAAAGAATAAAGAGTAGATTTCCTTACTTCTCTTGATCTCAAATTATCTTGTTTGACAGCCATGTGCTCTGCAATGACCTCATGTGTGTAATAGGTTGACTGTTTTTTAGCCATTTTCTTTATATTAAATCAGAATGCTCACTCTTCTATGGCCTTATAATCATCGTCATTGTGAACATTGTGATCTCCTCAGAAAATATGTAGCTTCAAGGGTTTATGAATGCATATTTAATGAGATATTGCCTCATTTTCATATTTTACTTTATTTTTTAGACAAAGTGTAATACAAAACGTATTTCTCTTAATATGAAGATGAATCTGTAAGAAATTTACGAGGTTATCTTTAAAAGGGAAGAAAAAGTCTCATTCACCTGTGGTGTTATAATAGTGTCACCTAATGTGGTCATTTTCAGGACTTTCGTCCCGGTTAGAGATTTTGGCACACATCACATGTTGTTCAATGGAGTCATATTAGTCTAGATAAATAAAGTGCACCTCTACTATAAATAAAAGGCATTTTTCCCAGCCTGATTTTAGCCTCTGCTTTGAACGCTCTGTTTGAAGGGGCGTGTCTGCTGTGTGTAACCGGCCTCTGCTGTGATTGGCTGACATGCTTGCATATGAAATAGCTACATATTACATGTGAAACTCTCTCGAATCCTTTTAATACAGCTATTATACGTTTTTAGGTTTTTACTATTACATATATCGAGATTACTGAATCGTGAGAAGTTTTTGGAAGCATTTAGATTCTCATCACATAAAATGTTGCCGTGATGAGCATTGAACAGCAGATGGCAGTCTGTCGATCGTTTCTGCACTCTCTGCTTTCACCACGATGATTTTACGATGATTTACCGTGATGTACAGTTTCTGTTCTCTCGTCTGTGCGTTCTGCACCTGCGTTTAATGAGCCAACTGTCTATTTCTGCAGATATATTTGTCTATATTCGTCATTCAAAAAGGAAAAGCGACGCTACACATAACGTAAACAAAGCAGCGCGTGCTTACCGTTTTGAATATCAATCCTGCTAAACACTTTCTTTAAATAAGGTTATTTTCATCATACTAAAAGAAACGATCGATGTGAAGGATATTTTAGTCTTGACTTACTGATGCATAAACAGTATCGAACGATTTTGAGAGAAAGATTAACTTACCTGTCTCCTGCCTGTTTGGACCATACAAAACTTTGGGAGTTGAGTCGGCGCATTTCCAGAGAAAACAAAATTAACCCATTGTTTCAGAGGCACTAAGGATGAAGGAACTAAAAAATACTTCTGTGTTCATTTGTACATCCGAACACTGAGCAACTGCCATGCTTCGCTTGTTTGCAAGCCATGATATCTCTCGAGGAAAAACTCCAATCTCAAAGCTATTTCCAGAGAATGTCTAATGGGCTTTATGCCCAGCTGCACTACTTCCTGAATTTCAACCAGCTCCTTGTTTCCTGTCTGCCATTATTGGCCAAATTAATTAATTCAGGTGTACCTGACCTCAGTAGTCATGGCAACAATAATCAGACACACCTGAATTAATCAATTTGGCCAATAATGGCAGACAGGAAACAAGGAGCTGGCTGAAGTTCAGGAAGTAGTGCAGCTGTGCATAAAGCCAATTGAAGAGAATTGGCACTGGCTGGTTACTTCCGGTTTCTGTACTGGCTGCAGTAACACGACTCTGTCCATGCGGGGGCGCTCGCGGTCGAGTGCAGAATGAATGGGAGTCAATGGGGTTTCACCCCCAGAAATCCACTTTTCTCAGGATGTAATTTTTTGTCAAGTAATTTGAAAGTTGCATTCAAAAGGGAGGGCTAAGATAATACACTCAGCTGAAAATTGCATTTTTAAGTTCACGTTCTAAAAATCCGTTAAAAAATGTGATGACGTCACACAATAGCAGAATGCTAGCGTGTTCCGGCCAACAATGGCCTAACCTGTAAGACATCAAAAGGACATAAGTACTCGTTCATTCGACTTTTGGCCTATAATCTATATTGAACTTGCGAAATCAACAATAAAATCTGTTGATTTAATGACAAGCAGGTGAAAGAGACACATTTAGCCCCATAGACTCCCATTCAAGATGATACACAATAGGGCTAATAGGAAGTGCCAAGGCTCTCCATTAGACGGGCTCTGCAATTTCTCTAGGAAAAAATAAAATCGCGCATGCATGTTAGTTCTTCCGGTTGCTAGCTCGTTTTCTCATGGTCGGCCAAGTTCTCTGGGCGGGCAAAGCAGAGAAAGGGGAGTAACCTTTCCCCCATATGACGTTATATAGGGGAGATTCAAGATCGGCGCGTCTGAGATGCAGACGGATGCAGAGAAGAGAAAAATAGCCAAAGCTCGGTTTACACCGATTGAAAATTCTAGACACGAGGGGACCAAATACAGTCTAGGGGAACTCATATTAATGTTAAAAAACCTCAGAAAATGAAAATTTCATGTCAGGGGACCTTTAAAATGTCAGTGCCATTGTTTTATCTCAAGATCCAAACCAGTAATGTTTTTCTTTTCTTCTAAAGCACGTTTATAAAAGCTACTTCAATGTCCCAATTGAACTAAGTACTATTACTGGCTTAGTTTAAGCGTGTCTGTGAAACCAGGCCTAAAAGTATTTGTGGTTTGATAAATATTAATAATATGACCATCTAGCATGAAACAGCATTGATAAAGAAGTGTATCTAAAAAGATAAAATTCAGTATATTGTATATGAATTTATTAAAATGTAAAAACAACAAAACAACAAGAATCTAATCCTCGTCCTCCTCTTCTTCCTCGTCTTGGTTGATCTGGAAGTATCGAAGCTCATAGCTTTCTTTGGTGTTGGCCACAACACGCAACCAGTCTCTGAGATTGTTCTTCTTTAGGTATTTCTTTGTGAGATATTTCAGGTACCTGCAAAGTAAATAAATACAGTGGAATATGTAATAATGTAAGTTGCAGCTAAAAAACGTGCAAATAAAGTCAAGATGTGTCAAAACAGACAAACCTTTTGGAGAAGGGCACCTCAGAAGAAACTATGATTTTGCTCTTGCTTCTCTCAATAGTGACAACTCCACCTCCCAGGTTTCCTGCTTTCCCGTTGACTTTGATGCGCTCCTGTAGGAACTGCTCCTGTAAACACAAGCAAACAAGGCATTTCCACAGTAATAATCACAAATAGGCATCATGACTTGATCCAACGTTAATGTTACTCACAAAGTTAGCAGCATCCATGATACCATCTTCAACGGGATGCGTGCAGTCCAGCGTGAATTTCAGGACCTGCTTCTTCTTTTTCTTCCCACCTTTAGAGCTCTGCTGCTTTCTCTGCAATTAATTGCACAAAATGTCCACGTTCAGTCTTCTGTCTACGACAGGCATGTCATTATCCTCAGAATAACACAACTAGTATTCCCTGTGAATGTGACTTCACGTCACGGATTTCATTCAATAATATAACACTTGTCTTACGAATTTGGGATATTACTTAAGTTACTTTATGACAGCAATAGAGATTAACATGCAATTTCGAATGATTTGTGTACATGGAAATGAATGGAAACATCTGTTATTTTATTAACTTGGTCCGTGTGATCGAACTTACAACAGGCGCCATAGTGAGAAATTTCGTCGAAAGGAAGAATCACGACTGCGCAGGCGTGACGTCGCAGTATTCTGTTGTTTGACTTAAAGGAACAGTTCGTCCAAAAAATACAAATTTTCATTGGATTTTTTTATTATTATTATTAATGAACAGAACAGAACAATACAGTGAGACATAATCCTTCAAAGTGAAACAAAAACAAAGTAAATAAAACAAAGAACAGTGCCAGAGGACAAGAAAAATATACATATATTACAAACAGAAAAGGGGTGCTACATTATATATCATACCTGCTTACAATGCTATAAGCTCTAATTGCCTTTTTACTTGTGCAGTTACACAAAAGAGAACAATAAAGCTTAAAATCATTTTTAAAGCAAGAAAGTTAGGTTTGGAGTCAGACCATTTCATTTCATGAATGTGAAACTCCCCCATCAGTATAACAATTTAAAGTATGCCTTATCTTTCTCAATCCCATGATCATTGAAGTGTATCCTAATGTCAAATCCACTCAGCTGTAAGTCAATGGACAATTTTTTCTTAATTAAACGCTCCATATCAAGCCAAAATATTTTGGTATGTATCAAAAGGAAAAATAAGTGAAAAATTGTTTCCTTTTCACCTTTACAGAAATTATTTTTGCCCACATTCATTTTCCACATGTCTAGAACAATTATGTGTTTTTTTTTTTTTTATTAATACAGTATATACTTTTTTCTTGATATACCCCGAAAGAATGAAAGTGAAATGTGACAATGTGCCCTAAACAATGTGCAGGCTAAAAAAATAATATCAGATTTGTCCCATTTAAAATAAACTCCCAAAATACAGATGAAAAAATAACATAAGTAAGAAATTTACTTTTGCTATGGTTAAATAAATGTTCTGTGATATCATCCAAAGATTACAGAATTTTGGTGCAATTTCTTCTTTATATATTGATATGGCAACTAGTAAATGGAAAAGTTTTGTCATGCTAGTGTGGAAGTATTTTTTTTTTTTTTTTTTTAAAAGCGTGTTACAACTAGTCAGTTAGTTTCATAAATATAATTTTAGATACCAGGGCTCTGCTTTTGACAGACAATGGCATCTGGTTTGTGTTGTGTAATCAAGGTCTGAGTATTCTGGCTCCAACATATCAGCTCCTCATACAACAGATACAGGAGTGTGAATTCATTGTTTGTTTTTGAAACCATTTCTTGCATCTAGGAACCCTCACAGAACCTTCACACGACAGTCACTGTCACTCCACCCAGCAGAAGCACTCGGACAGGACAAGGTATATATTCTTTATAGCAAATGCAATTAACTATATTTTTCAAAATGCATTCATTCATGTGACTTTATGTTTCTTTGCAGCCAATTCAAAGGCATGTGTCTGTTTTGGAGCCATCTTCTATATCTAAAAATAAATATTAAACTTGGATCTCAACTTTTTCACTGTATATTCTAAATCAATGACAGCCCAAGGATACTAAGCATACTCAGAATAATAGATAGGCTATAAATGTGCAATGTGTAAATGTGCTCCTGTAGCATATCATATATCAGAATTTCTGAAGTTCTTTATTATATTTTCAGATGTCTGGAGAGATCTTTTCCCCTTTGGATAATATCTATGACCTGGACAGTGCCAACTGCCATCCTCTGGTGTGCCACTTGTGCCAAGAACAGTATGAGCATCCATGTTTACTGGACTGTTATCACACTTTCTGTGCCAGCTGCCTGCGCGGAAGGACTGTGGACAGCCGACTGACTTGCCCTCTCTGCGGGTAATAATTTACTTGATTTAATCATTGATCACCCTATTCTGACCATTCACACAGTACTGTATATAAATTATCGCAGTGGGGTGGAAAGGGCCCACAGAGTTTTTCACAACGCAAAGATGAAGCCTATGACATGTATGCATTTGAAAAAGACTGTATTTATAGATTTAAATGGTCAAACGACATTGTTTGGTCAGCTCTATGGTGCCAGGGGCATCTGTAGGAGAGATTACCTGTTAACAGCTGCAATATGAATCCTGCCTTTGATCACAAGTCTCTGGGCACATTTTGCCAAGGCCACTGTGGCATCAAACAATGAACATAACACTAGCTGACACTTGACATTGGATACACGGGTCCTGGGCTGGCTACAATTAGAGATGGCTGAAATGCCTTTGCACTAGTAAGTTAGCAGCAGTTTAATCGCACACGCTGCAGATCTTACATGCACTTATGGAGGGAATTTATAAAAAAATAAAAAAGGTTGGTCTTTATGAAGAAGCATGTTAGAGTAAGTATGAATTTGTTTTAAGCTGGTTCATTGAGTGTTACATTGTCATTATGTTTGTCAATGTTATGCATCAGCAATGCAAAGGACTGTGTTAATGTTATAAGATAATTGTTGTTTAAAACGCTTGTCAAATACATGGTAAAATCTTCTCAAAAGTGAATTAACAGGGAATATTTGAACTGTTAACCTAAGTAGTATTTTTTTTTTAATTATTTGTAGAGTTGTTTGAGTCCCTTTCTGTTTGTGTCTATTTCCGTCTCTATGGGGCTTTATCTATTGCTATCTCAGAATTCAGAGGAGAGCTATTTGTGTCGTTGTTGCTATGAAGGAGGGATAAACACGTCAATGCCAGATGTATGACTAAGACATTATCAATGGGTCAACAGTTCTGCACAGACAAACAAAACTGTCTGTTTCTTTTGTAGACATCAGTCTGTTGTGAAAGGAATAAATGCACTTCCTCCAGAGGATCGACTCCTGAAGTTCTTGTTGGACAGTTCAGCAGACAGTGAGGAAACCGTGCAGTGCGCTAACTGTGATTTGGAGTGCAAGAAACAGGTCTCATATGATGAGATATTTAAATTGTAAATGAATTAGGTTCTTGTAAAAGTGGTTTACACACACACAAAAAAAGTGAAAAATAAAGTGAAAACATTGTATTAATGAAGGCTATTTGTGACAAAACATAATTGAAGAGTTCAGATGCAAAAGCCTCTAAGTGCCATTTGAAATTTTCTTCTAGAATGATCATTTATCAAGCTTGTATATTTAAGTTCAGTGATTTCACTTAAATGGCAATGATAATTACCTATTAATTGTTATTTAAGTGAAATTACTGAACTTAAATATACAAGTTTGATAAAAATCATCACTAAAGAAGAAAATTTTAATTGGCATTTAGAGGCTTTTGCATCTGAACTCTTCAATTGTTTAACTACATGTTGTCTTATGAACATGTCAGCAACTACAATTTAAGTATGAGTTTAAATAACTAAAAAGAAATGAGTCATTAGAGTAATTTGTTCGAGATCCGGACTACAACAGTTCCACTGTACAATTTTGATTCACTAAAGAGTCATTCATTGGGAATTTGACTCAACTGATCATGTTGTTGATTCAGCAGTAGCTCAAATATTTCAGTAGGTCTTTTTTTTTTTTTTAAAGATGAGTATTTTGTTTGTTTAAGTATTTATTCTTCGGTCACAAATCACAGGATGTGGATGCAATGTATTATTGCAACACTTGTTGCCAACCACTGTGTCGAGACTGCAGGGAGACCACCCATAAGGCCAAGATGTTTTCCTGCCACGAGATTGTCTCCTTGGCAAAGCGCACCAAAGAAGCCCACAAAAAATGTGGTGTGTGTGAAGCTCTATTTTGATAGTTTAAACTACTTACATTAATGATGTTTCTTTTGTCAAGGATCTGTGCACTTTGTCTATTTGCAGCCCTCCATGAGGAACTCTACATCATGTTTTCTACAGAGAAAAAGTCCATGCTCTGCATCAACTGCTTCAGAGACATGCAAGTGTGAGTTCTAAACTTAACTGAGTATGTGATTAGCATATGACCCATATGATTTCAAAATATATTCCATAGGGAGAACAGAGCACACTGCATTGATATTGAGACAGCATATTTACAAGGCTGTAAAAAACTGGACCAAGCCGTCTTAGTGAGTTTCTCTCCCATCCTTTTTTTCTGCAGTAATATGTACTGTCACCTGTGTCTGTATGTTGTGTGGAGCTCCTATTGAAGTCATTTCACTCTCCTCAGGCTGTGAAGGAGCTTCAGACTTCAGCTCGAGAAGCAATTATTCTGCTCAAAGCCATGATTGGAGAGGTCAGAACCAATGTGGAAGAAGAGGAAAGCGCCATCTGCACTTTGTTTAATAATATGCAGGTGCCATGTACAAATACTCAATTCAGAATTTTTGGCAGAATTAATTCTGGCAGATTTACTCAATTTATGGCAGAAATTGATTTTAACATTTTTGATTTGAGATGTAAAATTCATTTGGAATGAAAAATTTAGTATTTTTTTTATTTTATTTTTTGCTTAGGAAAAACTAGCAGAGAGAAAGAAGATCCTACTCAAAGCAGCACAAAGGTAAATATATATATACACGAAACCTCTAAGTCCGTCTAACGTTTTTCTTTAACATTTTTATCAGGCTCCAATGTATAGGTTTCTAAGTATCAACATTTCGGAATGGGCTAAGGTTTAGTGAGTTTGAAGTGAAAGTATTTGATGAATGTTTACTATGTGCGGAGAGCATTCACTCAATATTATTATCTCATTTTTGACATCGGAGGTCTTCATAAATGGGGCCCAATTTTGTCTGATAAATGCCTTAAAATATTAAACAAATATAAAATATTTTCCTTAGATTTTGATGGTTTAATTGAACTTGTTCATTAAAAACTAATTCCCAAACCAATCTCCTCCAAACATCACTTTTGGCCATTACTGTATATTCTGCATCACTTACACGTGTATGCATAATTTTGCACAAAATGATTAAGGTGAAGGAGAACCAAAGATCCTGATAAAGGAACACTGATTATTAATCTTCTTTTGTGTTTTTATTTTCTAGCCAGCATGAGGAGAAGGAGAGAGCCTTTAAAGAGCAGTTATCTCATCTTGCAGCACTCCTCCCAACTCTCCAGGTAAGTGTGTTTCTCCATTCAGCTTAGCTTTTCAAATATTCTTGCTTGCTTTCAAACATGTTTCTTTTTACTCACTCCAGGTTCATCTTGTTACATGCTCTGCCTTTCTAAGCTCTGCAAATAAATTTGAGTTTTTGGACATGGGATATGTGAGTAAAAACAAATGATTTTTTTGTATCTAATCCTAAAAAGAAAATTATATCAAGGCATGCAACTGTGATTGATTGATTTGAACTCACAGCAACTAATGGAGAGACTAAAGAAGATTGTAAAACTACCACACAGACTGAGACCAGCTCAAAGCAGTAAGGTTAGTTTACTAAATGCAAGTATGTTAAATAAATCAGTGCATACCTTATATCGGCTGTTATCCGTCCACACAGATAAACACAGAGTATCGCTCTGAGTTCGCACGTTGCCTGGAGCCTCTCTTGATGTTAGGACAACGGCGTTCACTGTCCACTACAGGGAGTGTGGCTTTAGGTCTGGGAAACGCCAGTGGACTGTGAGTCTTGGTAGTAGGTACTACTAAAACTTAAAAAAAAAAAAAAAGTTACTTAAAAAGGTAACATTTAAACATGAAATGTATATTTTTTCATTTAGGATGCAATCATCACTTTCAGTGCAATGTCACTCTCCAGCCATTAGTGACATGTCACTGTGCTCCTCGGTGGTGCGCAGGCCGACCTCACACCGTTACATCAGCACCAAGGTTCTGCTGGCGGAGGGTGGAGAGACGCCCTTTATGAACCACTGTTGCAACTACGAGAACAGCTACAGGGTAAGCGTTTCTCATATGCTCCTGGCCATTATATTTGACTTTCAGACATTTTCCTGGCTAATTACATTTATTGTGCTGTTGCAAAAGAAAAGCAACAACAAAGTAAAATGAATGGTAACCAAATCCCAACCCTCATATATATATAATATATATATATATTATTCAAAAATAATATCAAAGTACCTCTGCCAGAAGGAAAAAAACTTATGGGCAAGAGAAAAACATATGAGTCACATTGCAGGGAGAGGTATGGCATTTGTCACAGTGGGAAAAAATTGTGACATGCATGCCTTGGAGAAATGGATCCTATACAAAACTGTGTAGAAATGTTTTTTTTTAGACGTTTTAGACATTAAAGGAGAGACGTTGGCAGAAAAAAGGGAGGTAAGCTTTCTAGTTACAGTTACTCCTAAATATTTAAAACCTAAGGGGCTCAACTTGAAGGGGATATCGGACTGATTCAGTTGACACGCCAGAGCATTAAAAGGATAGCATTCGCTTTTTGTAACCTGAGAATGAGTCAAATTCTGAATAAAGGACAAAATTACAGGTATAGAGCGGCCGGGGTCGGAAACATATAACATCAAATCGTCTGCGTAAGGGGAAAGTTTAAATTCCATTAGAAAAAAGTGATGGCAGAAAAAAAATGGAAGAGGATCCCAAATATATAGACAGAGGTTCTATGGCCAGCGCAAAGAGTAAAGGAGTTAAAGGACAACCCTCGAGATGAAGGGAAAAAAGCAGATTGAATACCATTAGTGGAGATACTAGCTAGTGGGGATGTATGGCGTATCCATGAAATTAATGTATCACCCAACCCAAATGTATTTAGTACTGCGAGTAGGAAATCCCATTCGACCCTGTCGAATGCTTTTTCCGCGTCAACTGAGATGACCACCTCGGGGGTTATAGTGGACTTTCTTTAGTATAATATATTTAAGAGGGTGGCTTGTTTTAAAGTAAGAGGGAGAGAAAGCCAACCTGTAGAGATTCCTCGTACAGTATTTACATGTAATATACATTTTCAAAATCACGTTTTACTCTAAAACTAAGTCTAAACAAGCTGTGTTCCAAATTTGAGCTTGATATTGAGCTTTTGGTGCTGTTTGGCTGCCGCACCAAAAGTTTTCACGAGATAAAATTTGTCTCCCATTATTTCCAATGCAGTCATTTTGGAAATGATGGGAGAGGAGCACAAGTGTGACTATTTTTTATTTAACCTTTTCAAATCATGTTCATGTTTTTTTTTAGTCTGTGTTCACATAGTGCCAAAATCTTTACCAAGTTTCATACCATTCCAAATAAAATAAAATAAAATGATTAAAATAAATTAAAAGTAAAATCTTTCAGTCAAAAATGACCGAAGAGCACATGAGGGTTAAACATATAAATTCTACAGCAACTGAAAGATTCTCTATGTGTGTTTGACCAGACTTTACAGACCCAAATCCAGAAGCTCAAAGACCAGGTGCAGGAGATTCACAGAGACCTGACCAAGCACCATTCCCTCACCAAACCCGACACCATGAGTGAGATTTTAGAGCGCTCTGTACAGGTGAACGGACAGATATCTATAGAGTACTCCTCGGTGGAGCTCATGCGGGCCGTTTTCGAGGAGGTGAGATGGTAATAGTTTTAGGAGGAGGAGGTAAAAAAAAAGAGGCTCATTACACCTTTGATTTTGTTCTTAGATCTGGGAGGAGACATTACAGAGGGTGGCAAATGAACAGGAGATTTATGAGGGTAAGTGAAATCATTCGATTTTCTCACTAAAATCTTCTCACTACTGAGTTAAAGTATTTAGTGATTCTTGTTTATTGTTCATTTTTTAGCACAACTTCATGACCTGCTTCAGTTAAAACAGGAGAATTCTTATTTGACCACTATCTCCAGACAAATAGGCCCTTACATTCGCTCCATAGCGAAAGTGAAAGAGCGTCTGGAGCCCAGGTACAAAGAGCTTGATGCATCATTCACATGGCTTATATAGTAATATAAATATATACACATATTAGTGTTCAAAACTTTTGTACAAATGTATATATTTATACATTTTCACTGTAAAAAGACGTTTTTTTTTTTATTACAATTTAAAATGAGTTGTTTTCTTTTTGAAAAACTCAAAGCTGAATACTCCATTACTCCAGTCAATCACGATTCTTTAAAAATCATTCTAATATGCATTTCCTACTCAAGGAGCCCCTTTTTCAGGATTGTTTGACTATAAAGATCAATAAAACAGTTTTTTTTTAAATAGAATTTTGTAATAATGTAAATTTTGCTCTGCCTAAAAAAAGTTATCAAACAACTGACAATTTAATTTGCACACCAAGGCTAATTTTTACCTGCAATCTGACACTTTGCAAGCTCACCACTTATAACTTACACTATCAATCGCCAATACCCATATATAATAATTCCTCAAGGGCTTTTAATTGCATCTCTAACAGGCTGAAGGAGCCTAAAGAGCTGAAAGATGATCGCACAGAGATCATGCTGAAGCTCTATGAGGACACACAGCCCAGGTGAGTTCCCTTCAATTTCTCAGAAGTATACTACAATGTTGACACACTCATTGGCCATTTAAAAAGAAAATCAGTTAATTAATGGCTAGCTACTCCATGCTTCACGGATACAGTAATGAGCTGTCCTGTAACACTGAGGACATCTGGACTCCCAACAACCTATCAGAAGAGACCAATCCCAAGAACAAGGAATACTACAGGCCGAACAAACAGAAGAACACCACTGATACAGCCAACCGCAAAGAGATACCAGTGTAAAACTGCTTTTGTGTTGATCCTACAAACGGTTGTCAGCTTAGATATCTGTTAAACGGAACAATAAGCATGTGTTAGTGTAAATCTGATCTACCAAAGCTTGAATAAAAACCATTCACAGTGCTTGCATTTTAGAGAATCACAATAAAAGTGATAAGCGTTCAGTGTTTATTTTAAAGGTTTGTTACATTTTGCTGAAGGGTGTTAATAATGTACAGTTATCATTCAAGAGGTAGGGTGGTCCTCTCCCATCAGCTCTTTGCACGAGCGTAGTGCAAAAAAACCTATTGCATGTGTTCAAATGTCCATTACCTGTACCTACGCATATATTAGTGCTCGTCATTGGTAGAAAGTGTGCAAGAAATTCCTATTCTTTACCCAATGTCTATTTAAGCTACATCATGCCAGACATCATGACAGCGAAGCCTTCCTCTTAGAAATGTAAACTCATAAAGAAAAAGACTTTGGATACAGCATACCCCTCTGAATCCCACCTTCGTAGAAACAGATTTTTCTTGTTGAATTATCATGCAAGTGTGAAGGAAAGTGAAAAGACATGGATATGGTAATGTGGGAGTGTGGGAGTGAAGACGAAAGAGACTAATGCATTTAACTGTTAGATGAGGACATGTACATTGAGAAACACTGCATAACTGGAGGACTGTAAAGACCAATGGAAAGAGGAATTAAGCCTATAATTTATCAGATACGTTTATTTCTCTAATCATAATATTAAAACTGTCCAACAGCATTGACAAATCACAGATATTCATTTAGATTGTCGGGAATCATTAGGCCTGTTGTGACTGGCAAAATTAGTGCAAATAAAAAGCCTACTTTCTGAGACATCATAAACTATTTTTTACACAAAATGGATGGCCACTGCTGTAAATATATCTTGGGTCCAATTTAAAACTTCTCTGAATACAACTCTTTACATCAAGGTATTTTAAACATCTACTGAAATCTCTGTTTGTAATTAGAAATTAGTAACAAACCCTTGTCCTGAATCTCACCCCTAAGGTTTCTAAACACAAAACCAAGGGATTTAAAATGGAAAGAAACTACATGGCGCAAATAGGAGGAAAAATGATATATGAGGTATGTAACAGAGGAGGAGTTAGGCAGAACAGAAATATGATGAGAAAAGTGCTGAGGAAGGTGGTTTTGGTGTACTAGTATCTCTGATGGTGTTGAAGGTGGAAGCTCCACTCTGCTCAGGGCAGACCAATATGTCTCAGAACAGGGTCAGTTTTACCGTGCTGCCACCTCATATATCTGTGCCGGCCCCAGGGACCGCGCCATGATGCCACCAGGCAACTAGCTCACTCGAGTGCCAGTCAGAGGTGTCCAGGTGTGCACTTTCAGACTATTTCCTCCCTTCAATGCAGCAATGGCCTTAAGAGTTAACCCTGATTCCTGAGATAAAGGGCAAGCCAGTGAAGACCTTCTTCTTGTACTCAACGTAGTCCTCTCCAAAGAAATGGATGAGAGAAAGCTCCTCTTCCTCAATACGCTCTCGAAAGAACCGCCAGCTGGCGACTGTATATCCCAGTATACATATCGGGTTGCACAGCATTATCTGGAAAAACAACAAACAAGAGTAAAGGTATAAAACAAAACACATGAACATCTTCTAAACTAACAACTAAATTTAAGGGATGGTGAAAAATATAGGGATAAATCACAGACGTCCGGGGGTTTGTCGGAGCTGTTGAAAAGCTATTCAAGCTTAGCTTGAATAAAATCTCACACTTTAATTGTATTTATACTATAGCTCCTAACAGGCTGTGTGACTATGAGGAATGAAACTCAAAATGTACATCCATATGCAAGTTTGAAGGACTTTATTTAGATTATAAATACATACACTTTCTCTATTGTCACATGCCTGTGATTATCCTTCCGTGTGCCATAGGTTGTCCCCCCACTGAAATAATGGTTAAAGTACCTGAGTGCCAGTGCTCCAGTAAAACCAGCCCACATAGGAAGGATGTCTGAAGAGAGCGTAAACTCCTGTGGTGACCAGCACGTGGCTCTGGGCTTTCTCATTCTGCACTATATGGTTAAAGTTGGACCCTGCCGTCAACATGGCAGCTTTGCGCAGGCTGTCCCCACACAGAACCATTACCAGACCCACCAAACAGAGCCAGTTCAGCTGCTTTATCTCTGTCGAAAAAAATGTAACAATTCAATTCATTTAAAAAATTTACGGAAGCATTTCAACTGTTCCTGAAAAAAAGAAACAATTTATAAATTAAATAATTTATATATAATTAATCATGATTAAAGTTAATGATAATAATGTTTTGGCAATATATTATGTTTAATAAGTATATAAGCAGCTTCCTCCATACAAATTGACAAAACTTTTTTTTGTTTCCTTACTAATAGGCTTGTCACAATCATGAAGTTTAAGCTGATGACTGTCATACAAATAATTGCAATTATACACAGTACTGGTCAAAAGTTTGGGAAACATTATTTTTTTATGTTTTTAATGTGCTCATCAAAAATACAGAAAAAAACAATAATATTGAGAAATATATTTAAAATTTCAATGAATGTTTTTCTATATTTTAATATACTTTCAAATATAATTTATTCCTGTAATGCAAAGCTGAATTTTTATTAACCAATTACTCTTCAATGTCACATCACATGATCCTTCAGAAATCATTCTATTATTCTGATTAGATCAAACAACAGCGATCACATGATTTATCAATAATTGTGACAGGCTTGCTTATAAAGTAAGTGAATGTACTAAGAAAAAAAAAATCAGTGACATTAATTATTTAACAATCATAATATTTGTATTTTAACACCATTAAGGCTGTCAAGTCGGGAATCAATCGGGATTTACTGACCAAGATCATAACAAACCTGGAATAAGGAGTATTTCCACAGTGAACTCTATCCAGGAGGAAATAGCTGCTAATGTGTACTCAATACTATGGTTGAGCAGGAAGGAGTCTAGAGACAGACTGCGTGGGTTGATGATGGCAGTCACCAGGTACTCAGAGTAGTGGAAAAATGACAGTGAACACATATACCTAGTGGAACAAAACAAGTTAAATCATGTGTGCCTTTTAATGCAGGCCCTCCTTGTTTCATGTCCTATTTTAAACATGTGTATGTTGACCTCAAAAATTTCACATAAGCCATTTCACAAAAGTTGAGTTACCAGCCAAAGTGTGTCCATGCTGTATCTGCAAAACTTAAAATGAGACCACATCCAAAGGCAAATCCAAGAAAGCAGGCTCGAACAGCAACCTGATCAAGCAAAAAGGCAGGAAAGTGTAAGCTAGATCCTGACACTGCAAATCCACATACAGTAAGCTGTCTTCTAGGAGAGCTTATTCATATTGACAGAGAAACTCTTACGAGATCCCATTACAGTACTAATGTAATGGGATTATACCTGCACACACACAGGACATAACCAATCGATGCCCTGGCAAAAGCAGACCTAGATTTATCTTATCTTTATTAAATTAAAAGATATGGATATGATAGGGTTTGCAGCTACGCAATCATATTTCTATTAGTATAACACACATCCTTCAGACTGTTTCTCTGAGTCTTACCTTGTATAAAGGTCCCTTGTATATGATTAGCAGGAAGCCATTGATAACTGTAATGTACGCCGCAATGGCTATTTTTCCGTTCACATCCGTGAGGTAATCGAATATCCAGTCAATGTGAGATCCGAATTTTACAAGTAACGGTATTATAATGACGGCCAGTCCTGATATAAAGCTAATAATACTTATCCTCCCTTCTAGCACCAACTTGCTGCCTGCCATGTTGAAAACAGCAAAATCCCGCCGAGAAATCTCGCGAGGCTTCCGAGCTCACGTTGACTGACTTGCTTACTCGCATTTGACAGCGTTTTCAAGCTCGTTGGACTGTGGCTGTGAATTAATATCCTTATGTGAAACTGTAATTTCAAAAGATTCAATTATTTAGTTACTATTATTATTACATCATGCATTTTAATAGTAGTCTTTAAAGTGATTTTACATAAAAGTGATATTAATGTCTGTTTTGTAGCCACTATTTACCAATGAAGCAATAGCCTACAATCAAGTTGTTGATCGATGTTGATTCCTATAATTGCTCATCAGTATTAAATGTTAATCTACAGCTGTAATATGTGGAATTTTAGATGGTGATGATGGTGGTAAATACGACACAACAACACATCTCTGGTGTCAGATCAGTAAAGAACTGTACTAAGATGAAGCAGCACAAGATCTCCCATTAATAAACTCTTGGCTTTGATGACCATGATGAGAAGCATTATTTCAGTGTAGCACAAAGCGGTGGAGGAATTCAGATTTGAGCCAAAAGGACGATTTACTGGTTTAATACTGTAAGATGAAGATCTCCCCTGTGTTCTTCTTTGTGTCCATTCCAAAAGCTGCTCGTCTGATTGGAAGCTGGGGACCTGGCAGGCGTTGTAGTCCCAACATGAAAAAGACTTTGTATGCATGCTCAAGTCCATCTATTCACTACTGTTCCCTTGTAATGACAACAGATCAATGCAACTCAACCTCATGAACACAAAATACAAATATGTCTACATGCAAAAACTTCTTATACATTTGTTACAAATTAAAAAAAAAAATACACAATGACACATCACTCAATCTTCATATCACACATTACATGTCATAACAGAGTAGCTCGATTTTCATTTATTTGAATGAACTGATCTTGTTAGCCTATAAATAATCTGTTTTGTAAAACTCATGCAAATATGTAATGTTTATGCATTCTCAAAATATTGCTGTCAATGTTTTACAATTTTTGGAAACAATTAAATCCAGGAAAGCAACCAAATGATACACGTATAGAATTAATATATATATATAAAAAAATCAAAAACAGTGGAAAATGTACTTGCATGCATTTGGAAAGGAAAATATGACAAATTCTTCTGTCTCATTTAAACAATTGTAAACATGCGATGGTTTAAGTTTATACCCTCAGGATCAACACATTGTCCCTTTTTGCGTGTGATGCGGTAATGCCTGTGCAATTTAGCATAGCAGCGAAGCCCTGTGAAGATGTAAGGAACATTTTAATAGGTGATTTCCACTTTGTCAGTTTGTGTAATAATCAGTTTGAAAACACTTGCTCACCTTCCTCACACATGCAGCTGTCATAGCACTTGTTGTTGAAGCCACGGTTGTGAAGCTCACATACATGTTTTCTGAGATTACAGCACGACCCTGCCATTTCATATAAAAGAGGTAAAAATGGTGTGATCATTTATTTGACTTAAATAACTTTCAACTTAATTCAAACTTTGGGAACAGTATGATTTTGTGATGTTTTTGAAAGAAGCCTCTTATTTTCACCAAGGCTGCATTTATTTGATCAAAATTACAATAAAACAGTAATATTGTGAAATATTATTGCAATTTAACACAGCTGTTTTGCATTTGTAATTAGTGCTGTCAAATGGATAAATCACAATTAACGGCATCTAACATAAAAGATTTTGTTAACATAATATATGTATATATATATATATATATATATATATATAATTACAATTAATTTATATATTACATATATGTAATATATATATATATGTAATATATATATATAGGCTAATAATATTTGTACACACATATATTATGTAAATAAAATTGTTTATGTTAAGATGCAATTAATCCCGATTAATTGCACCTAATTTGAACAATTATATTTTAAGGTGTAACTTATTCCAGTGATGACAAAGCTGAATTTTCAGCATCATTCCTCAGTGTTCAGTCACATGATCCTTCAGAAATCATTCTAATATGAGAATTTGCTGCTCAAGAAACATTTTTTTGTTATTATCAATGTTGAAAACAGTTGTTTTGCTTAATATTTTTGTGAAAAACGTGCTAATCTTTGCTTTTTTTAAGGATTCTTTGATGAATAGAAAGTTCAAAAGAATAGCAATTATTTTTACATAGAAAGCTTTTGTAGCAATGTAAATTATATTATTACATTATACATTAATTACTCAAATTTCTCTAGCTCACTGGAGAATAGATCTAGTAGAAAGGGCTTGTTGTAATAATGCAAAAGGTGGAAAAAGTCACCTGGTAGACAATCCAGGTGATGTTTACAGCTCTCTTCTGATGTAAGAGTAACAAGTTCAGTGCTGGGCCTTTTTGTGGCCTGTTTCTCAGATCCTAGATAGAAATAGAGTGATGGTCAAGTGTTATTAGTAAAAATTTTAATTTACCAACACATTTTCTTGTGATTCCAACTTCAAGGCATTGACGCTTGCTAACATATCTACAGACTCAGCTCCCTCCTACGAGTCTACGTCCCTACCAGAAGCCTAAGTGTCTACTAAATAACTAAATGTAAATGCAAATCGCAAAGCATGCACAAATTATGTCAGTTCACCATTTCAAAGCAAGGCAACATCTAACTTTAAAACTCACAAAAGCAGAAACAATGTCGCTGTATTTGTAAGTGAAATATTGCATACCTTGCTTCTTAGAAAATTGCTTTTTGTCTGAAGGCCTCATATATTCATAATCAGTCCAGTCGAAGAATGTTATGTTGAAAGTGGGCATCACATCCCCACTGAAACTTCTGACCTGAGGTACAAAAATATTCATGTCACTATATGAGGTATTGAAATTTCACTTTTTCATATGAAAGTAAATCACTTTGGCCAATTGTTAATCCTTTGAAGTTCAATAGAACAAACTGCGGTGGTCTGTTGTAAAGACAATAAGAAATTGTTTCATGTGTGGATTAAATGTGAGAAGATGAGATATTTTTAATCAGTGTTATTGAAAAGACTGAACAGCTAGATGATGTTACCTGTGGTTTACTGGAGGGGGTTGGCTTTGTGGACGGCTTCCCACCAACTGCTGCAGTTATGGGTAATATGAAGGAGCCAGCAGTGGCTGCAGGGAACACTGACTCTGTGGGACTCCCAAAGGAGTTTAGATTGAGCCTTTGATCAAAAGAAAGCCTCCGTTTCTCCCCTGATGCCAAAGACTCTATGTGAAGAAAATAGCAAGCAGATAATTACAAAATGGCAGGACAGTTATAAGGGAGTTTTACTTTGGAAAGTTTGCGGGTTTCTTTTTACCCTCATCACTAACAGCCCTAATGATGTGCCCTCCAAACACTTTGCGGCCAGTGGGATGTCTCATCGCCTTCTCCGGAGTACCGGCGCCAGGAGAGATATGCATTTGCTCTGGAAATAAGGAGTCAAACCCATTGAAGAGCCTCTTTCTTGCACTCAATACTCGACGTCTTTTATCTCCTGGCTCTATCTCTAAGCGGACGGGACTGAGGCCCTCCAGGTCTGGTCCTTCATTTTGGGTGTGGAACACAGTAATATGAGGCATCTCTCTGAGCAGACCTGCTGTCATCCTCTCCTTGCGACGTCTGTGCTTCCTGTGATGACGGTGTTGATGTATGGATGCCTCTGGCATGGGCGGGATAATGACATTGTCGCTGAAGATTTCCATGGCTGAATTGTGGCCCATTTCGGTGCTCAGGGTCATGGTCCCCAAGTCAAGGAGGAGAATTGAGCCAAAATACCAACATGAAGCCACCATTCTAAGAGTAGAAAAGATTAAACAAATAATACAGTAATGTAATACAGTGATAAATAACTGTCAACTGTCAAACGATTAATCGTGATTAATCGCATCCAAAATAAAAGTATGTGTTTACATAATATATGTGGGTGCACTGTGTATAATTATTTTGTATAGATATAAATATACACACATTTAAGAAAAAATATTATTTATGTACAAAATATTTAGATTTATATATAATATATAAATCTATATACAGAATATACATGAAAATGTCTTAAATATATACAAGCATGTGTGTGTATTTTCATATATAAAAAAAGTATACATAGTGAAGTGCACTGACATATATTTTGTAAACACAAACTTTTACTTACGATCAATTGTGATTAATCATTTGACAGCACTTCAAATAACACAACACAGTAATAAAGTCACACACATTTTCTCATATATATATATATATATATATATATATATATATACATGAGAAACGCTTACAACCACGCTTACAACCATCAGGTCTACATCAATGTTATTTACCTGTCATTTCACTCTGAATTTAGGAATAATTTATGGGAAGGGTTAGGATTAGGGGTAGGACATTTAATATTCAACAATATTATTGATCTGTGTTGCATTATTTTCATGTTATCACTATGAAGCTGCTTTGATACAAACTGTATAGTAAAAAGCGCTATATAAACAAAGGTGACTTGACTTGATAGGGATAGGGTTAGGATTACAATTTCGGACAGGAATTTTGTTCCAGGACCAACAAAGTACGTTGACTCAGGAACACATCTAACATGGCAGAATCAGGACATGCAATCTATTCTACTGAAGCAATGTGTCACAGTACAAAAATGAATGGAGTTAGTGGCTTTGAGAAAGCTAAATGTGGATGGGCAGAAAAATCCCTCAATTCACACTTCAGAACTTCAAGAAATCACCTGGTCTCAACACAAGCTCGTAAGACTCAAATGCCCGCAGTAAAATAAAAATAATGTTTTGAAATAAACCAAAGCAAATCAGCCTGACAGACCATTTGATGTTATGTTGCTCTTCTTTCTGTGAACATTTAAAATGCTTTGGGAGTCCCACCAGGCTCTACATTTGGTCTTTGATCTTGAACAACTGGACAGCATTGAATATATTTGTTGGCTCTGCATGAGGAATGGTGTCTGGCGACTTTAGAAATGTTATATTCCCCTATCTGACATATTACAATATATAATTCAGACAGACATGTAAGCGCATTCGCTCTAACTGTAATTTT